ACATGAAAATGGTTATAGAAGTAGTGGTTTTGTTTTGTTTTTTTTTTTTTTAGGTGCTGTGCTATGCTATAGCTTTGTTTACTATAGAAGTAGCTTTTACTTACATTTGTATATAGCTTTATAGTCGCTGGGGCTCTGTCTTGTTTGTTCCGTAGTAGTCGGAAGGTGCTTCCTGCGGGGTTGTTCTTTCTAGCCATATATAGCATAGCTCGCTTGGCTGGATCCCTAAGATCCTTCGGATCCTGCTTCCATAGAATCTACATCCTCTTCTACCCACACGAGCCTGGTCATCCTTGTTCTTTATCCGCAGACCTGTATAAACCGAAATATATCCACACACTCTGTCTCTTTCTCCCAGATCCTACGCCCGCTTTAACATAATGTACCCGAGCCCACGCAGCACGATCGTGGCAGGCGCATGAACCAATATTCCCGAATCCGCCACCCCCAACGCCGTTAACACCAGAGCATAGTCCCAATCGCCTGCTCCTTTGTGTATCCAAAAGATCCCAGTATGAGCCTACAAGTAACGACCGTAGCGCGAGCGGGGCAAAAGTAAATGAACCGATTTATGTGATCCTGGCTGATCTCAGTTGATTTATCCTGGCTGATGGCGCCCCCCAAACATGAGTGAGCCGCTGCCTGTCGGATGTCCTGATCAGATATGCAAAATCATTACGCAAAAACTTGCCGCCTTGGGGGAACGGTTCGTAGCGATGGCGACATTGCATACGTGGTTGGAGATCCAGACGCAGCCAAAAGTATGCAGCTAGCTCACGAGGAAATCCGTAACGACGTGGAAGATATCTATTGACAACGTCGCTCCGTCACCAACCTCCCTTCTGCCGCGTTCAACACCGTTTCTTCTTGTCCTTTCCTATCATACCCCTTTTCAGCATTTTGATGCGAACTTGTTTCTCCTCCAAAGGCGCTCCCTTGATTCTGGTTGGCCCCACTCGCTTGGCTACTTCCCTGTCGGCTAGCATTTGCCGTCCTGTCACCCCCCTTTGAATCTCGGTAGGCTCTGAGAATACACCAAGTACTGCGACGATCGTACCTTCGGCACCAACCACGCTCAGTCCTACTTCGCCGCATAGCTTGCCCGCTCCTTCGCGCAGCCGCAACCTTGGTCTATCCTTGAAGTGGCTTAATGGGATGCATTCTGTCGAATCGCGTTGATGTTGTTTTTTTTTTTTTTTTTTTTTTTTTTTTTTTTTGGGGGGGGTTTTCCCCCCCCCCTTTTTCCGACAGCATGGCTGTGCTAGACAGCCAGGCACGCGTCTACGGGACGCAGAATCTGCGCGTCGTGGACGCCAGCTCATTTCCATTCCTCCCACTGGGGCATCCTCAGTCTACTGTTTACGCGCTGGCTGAAAAGATCGCGGCCGATATCCTGGGCGCTAGTACACCACCGCCGGGCTACTCGATGACGGGCTATGCGCAAGACGTAGCGCAGGGACAAACTCGTTTGTAGACTCTGACGAACAGTAGCAATCAGGTTTCAGCACAGCAGGAAAGTGGGGCCGCTTTGAATTTCCCTTCGCGTACCTCAGTAGTGGTATTCGTTGCTCTCTACGCAGTCTCGTTGACTTGGTTCACATGTTGTTTCTAATTGTCGATTTCAGAAGTGCGCATGAAGATGAGGTCGAAAGATGAACATACCTATATAGGATCATGTGGATGCCAGGAAAAGCTGTGATTGTAAGTATATATGGATGCATACCTACGTCTTTGGATGTGTATACGACTGCATGACTGCTGGAAACCTCCCAATTTGTGAAAAACTCTCCACCCAGGACTCGCACGCTCCTTTGACCACCTTGCAGCCGCAACTGTAGGCAACTAAGCCGAGCGAATTTCAAAACTTACTTGGTCGTAAGATACCTTTGGACCCCCGTCTTAGAAAGGGTCAAAATACCGTGACTCCTTGGATCAATCACGAACTTACTTGAGTCAATCATCCGGAAGTCGAACCGTCTCTGCACTATCAACATTCATTACCAGATCCTCTGTATGAAGCATCGCTGAATTCTTTGAAGTGAATGCAAGACATGTGAACGCAAGACCCCGCAGACCCTAGGGAGAACTGGGTAAGACGAAGGGTACCTACTTCACACGTCCCCAGCGCTATGAGTCAGCCAAGGTCGTTTCCCTGTCTTCATCTTCGTTAAAAATTCAATTGCATTGAAGAACATGCTTTGTTTGCATCAATGAATACTTGTACAACCAATGTACTAGCAAGACCTAGCTATCAGATACCACCAAAGGGAACAAGAAGACAAGCGTGTGCCTCATCATAAGCACAGCGCTCTCTTCTCCCCTACACAGGCCTGAAAAAACCTGGGTCTTCAAGCACCAACAAAAACCCTGCACAACAAAAAGCCCCCACAAACCGCACACACACCCCACCTCCCTTCATAACCAACCCACAGCACCATGGACATCTGGATCTACGAATACCAACCCACGTGGCCCACCTCCTTCCTCGCCATCCAATCCGACCTCGCCTCCGACCTCGCCCGCGCCCCCATCGCCTACCGCGCCATCACCCACGTCGGCAGCACCGCCGTGCCGGGCCAGACGGGCAAAAACGTCATCGACGTCCTCATCACGGTGCGCCGCGCCGATTTCGCCAAGCACGTCATCCTGCAGCAGTTCAAAGGCGCCCTGATGCACGGCGTCGCGCAGGGCGGGTATTACTACCTGGGCGACGGCGGCGTGCGCGGCCGCTGGAGCTTCAAGCTGCGCGCGGCGGCGGCGGCGGAGGGGGGCGCGGGGCGCGTGGAGCGGAACGTTTACGTGGCGGCGGAGGGGAGCGTGGTGCAGAGGAGTTGCGTGGCGTTGCGGGATACGCTGCGGGCGGAGCCGGGGCTGAGGGTTGAGTATGGGAGGGTGAAGTTGGAGGCGTCGGGGGGGGAGTGTCGGAATATTATGCAGTATGCGACCAAGAAGAATGGGGTTGTGAGGAAGATATTGAGGAAGGCGGGGTGGAGTGAGGAGGAGATTGATGAGAAGGAGGCTCAGGCTGTGAAGGATTGGCCTCAGGGTTGGGAGATCTAGCGGGCGGAGCGGTTGGATCGTGGTTGGGCTGCTATCGGGGGGTGCAAACATTACTGCAGAAGATCTACCGGGTGCTGTTTTTGTATGTAGAGAGCAATGAACGGGCGATATCTTTCAAACCTTTCATTACTACGTCTTCGTTACCTCTGCAGAGACTACTTACCGAAACATGATCTTTCACCACCCCCCTTTCTACTGCATTAAAGATGCTTTCCACCTAGATCCACGAAGAATACAAGAAAGACAGCCCCTCGCACCACGCAAACTAAACCACCGGCCCAACCCTCAATGAGAACATCTCCACGTCGGCCCTTGAAGTCATCCCTTGAAATCGTCGCTACAAAGTCCTAATCCCAGCGTGACGCGCGCAATTTCCCACCTCATGTCAAAATCCAGGCTCCGTGATGTGTAGAATGGATGAATTGTCCTCCCCAAGCTCCCCTGGAGCACGTCTTATGTACCATACCAATGAAATGGCTGGGAGGAGGCTGGGAACCCCACATTCTGACACCTCAGCGAGTTTTGCACAGTGAGCACTGCTGATGGTTACACCCCACACTGCTGCAAGTAATAGTAACTCCGATACAGTTCCTGTCGTTTCCGCAGCAGTGGCATATCCACCACGTTTCCCACGAAAAGAATGAACTAGTCTCGATTAGAAATTTGAATCCTGGACGGGATAGTGGCTTTGATGCGTACGCGTCCGGTGTTTCGGTGTCGAGGGTAAGAGGTTTCGAGGCTTGTATCGAAGCTCGAGCTGGGATCTCAAGGGCTGTATCGGTAGGAGAGTTTTGGACGCCCATCGCCGTGGGACCTGCACGTTGATGTCAAAACATGCAAGATTCGACGGATGTCAGCAGGGGGGTATACTCGTGCAGCGCATCTTACGAAACGTAGTGCGGTGAAGGTTGTTTCTGTAGAGTCTGCTTAGAAATTGGGATCGAATGGCTAGTTGATGTGAGGCAACTAGGCGGTGCCTTACGACGAGACTCAAAGGAGAGCGAGAAAGGCTTTACTGGGAGACGCGAGAGAACGATGGAGTCGAGGGAACGGCATTTCCTAAATATTCAATCCTAAGCGCTAAGGGCCATCATCTCTCCCAACTCCGAAAGAGGTAGCAGCAGGAAAGCGCCGAGTGAGCGTCATAGATAGCATGCGCAGCCTTTGAATACGAGAGGGAGCATCAAAGGTCAGTGCTGAAAGCTCGCCCGCTTTCGCAAAGGAAAGTTGCTACAAATGTAACATAAGGCACGGAGACATTCGTACGAACGTCGAATGTTCTACCCTTTACTGTAAGATTACTGAGTAGACATAGATCGATTCTCGACCCAATATTCGGAGAAATCCCAGAGTAGAAGGTGGGGGGTATTGGACGGTATTGGCAGTTTTTTTAGCGTGTTTATAATATCGTAGGAGTAGGAATGAGGGTCGACGATCTCAAGGAATCATTCGAGATACTTCGACAACAGGGGCACAGCTCACGCCTCATGGCCTCTGAGGGCTCCAACAGCTGCTCGCAACTACCCGCATGTAACGAGGAACCAATAGACTTTCAAAGCCTGGGAGTGTTGCTACTGGACAGCTGGGGCAAGCATACGTAATGACACCGACCACAACTGCAGATGCGTCGCCCCTCAATTAGAGGGGTATCGATACGTTCCTTCATGCTGATCAAGGACGGATCTGGAACTGACAGCTATTAGTCTGGGCCGCTGTAGAGCATTGACCTACAGATCCGACTGGCTGCAACTTCCGTTTCTGAGAATCAGGTGAGCAGGTGTTGCATTCGCTCAGCCTCGGTAACCGCTTGAAACTTGGTGTTAGAGATCCAGAGCCTTAAGAGTTGATCTGCAACCTGCTGAATCAAGCCATGTGTCGCTACAGCTTTTTAAGCATGGCATTGACGGCTACAGTAATCACTTCGGCCACCGAGCATGGTTTCACCTCTCCCCAACCATGGCCTCATCAATCTCTGTCCCCAAATCCCTTTCCTCTAAGAAAAGACTTTCCCTCAGCTCTTGAGGGAGGTATTCCTGCTGCACCTTTCCATCCACAAACCTAGGATTGTACTTATACTCAGCTCCATACCCCATCTCCTTCATCAATCTCGTGGGCGCATTCCTTAAATGTATCGGAATCGGCAGTGCAGCTACTCCTGGTTCCTTTAAAGCGGCCATCGCATTGCCTAGTCCTCTGTACGCGCGCGTACTCTTTGGGCTTGACGCAAGCGCAACGGCGCAGTGCGCTAGGTTTATCCTTGCTTCTGGCATGCCGATTTTCTCCGCCGCCGTGTATGTGGACGTGGCGAGCGTGAGCATGCTGTTGTCTGCAAGTCCGATGTCTTCCGAGGCTATGACAACCATCCGCCGGGCGATGTAGAGGGCATCCTCGCCCGACTGTATCATCCGAGCGAGATAGTCTAGATTAAAAATTTCGCCGTCAGTATTACCTATTCGAGGAGGTATATCGAGCCTTTAAACATATCTCGAGAGTAAAGACGCCCAACACATTTGTCAAGACTCAAGATTTGCTCCAAAAGGGGAAACATGGGCTCCGGAGATACGTACAGAGCGCAGCGTGGGGGTCGGAGCCACGCACAGACTTATGAAAGGCCGAGATGGTATCGTAGTGCTGATCACCCGACCGGTCATAGACCAGCGTCTTCGTCAGCGAAGCCTTGATGATCTCTTTCGTCGCGTCTGCCCGATGCGACAAGTCCATAGCTAGTTCGAGGAGATTGAGTGCCGTTCTCGCATCTCCATCGGCAAAAGAGGCAAGATACCGTATCAATTCTTCGTCGACTAACTCGCTCGGCTCATAGCTTGGCCCTTCAACATCCAGCGCCCTTTTCAAAATCGCCACCACATCCCCCTCCATAAGCTTACTTAGCGTAAACGTTCTACACCTCGACAGAAGCGCATTCTGCACCTTGAAGCTCGGATTCTCCGTCGTAGCCCCAATCAGCGTCACGGTCCCCGCCTCTACCGGGCCCAGAAACACATCTTGCTGACTTTTACTAAACCGATGTATCTCGTCACAAAAGATGATAGTCTTCCTGCCCGTCAAACCCAACTCTCCCTTAGCTTCTGCGAACAATTTCTTACACTCCGCCACCCCAGAGCTCGTGCTGTTTATCTCGACGAAGCGGGAGCCAACCGTATTGGCGATCACGCGTGCTATCGTTGTCTTCCCGGTGCCGGCACTGCCCCAAAGGATCATTGAGGGGACACGGTCAGATTCGATAAGGCCGCGTAGGACGCCGGTGGGGCCGACGAGATCTTGGCCGTATACATCGTCGAAGGTTTGAGGGCGCATGCGCTCCGCGAGAGGAGCCGCACGCTGGAGGGCATTTGGCTTGGAGCGCTTGGAGGGCGGCTGGTCAGAAAGGGATGTTGGGACTCGGGAAGGGCGAGAATCATCCTCAAGCTCTAGAGAAGGAGAGGGAGCTGGTCGTTTGTTGCTCGCTGGTGTCGGGAGAGATGGCTTGGTGCCATTTGTAGAGGTGCCATTCGTATTGGAAGAGCACTCTTGCTTCACGAGTTTGGTACTGGGCGCAGCTGGAGCAGGCCTCTTGCTCGAAGGTGTCCGAAAGAAGCTCGCGACTTGGGGCGTCCCATTTTGAGGGCCCCCGGCTGCATTCTGCTCGTCAACGAAGGATACGCAACCCGAGTCGATGTGTGAGTTGATGTTTGTCTCTTTCACGTGCTTGCTGCATATGGGACAATCCACCATCGTAGTCGTCGCTGGATTGGAAGCATTATCAAGCTTGAAGCGCGTACGAGGGTATATATTTCCTTTGATTTGCGCGAATCTGGCGGAAATAGAAGTCTTGGCACGAGCACAATTACTTTAGGTGCACAGAGGCTGCCGCTTTTAGGGTGCGGTTTGGGCTGATAGAGAAGGGTCACCCAAAATGCGAGCATACAACATATGCTACGATAATCAGGGTGATCAGCTTCTATAAATACTTCTCGTTGCAACATTTACATTACTCTCATATCCTGGTACTCTTGCTGTCCAAGAGCCGATGCGCCGGGGTTTACGAGTAGCACCCTTGCTCAGAGTAACGTCGGCCGCGCAAAAGGTCGAAATTCAGCCTGAGATCTTGAGAGGTATACTCCTTACGATCGTGAGTAAATGTAAAGATTATCAGACCCTGGAATGAAACACGCTGGGCTCCAGACTTTCATCCTCCCTCTCCTCCACTCCAACCTAATGGACTCTCTGCTTCGTCTCCTGCACCTTGGCAGAGTTGTGATACAGCCTCAGATTCCAGCCGCTTACAGTCCGTTCAAATGTTTACCAACCGAATTGATCCAGCAAATCGCAGCCTGGCTACCGCCTAGCTCCGCTGCCTCGCTCTCCTTGTGCAATCACAAGCTACATATTATGCTTGGCAAGAAATCTTTACAGGATCTGTATCAGAGCGATCCGTGCCATAATGAGCAAGCACTTTTGTTGCAGGCGTTGGACCGAGACTTGCCGGAGACTCTGTACTGCTTTGTCTGTAATAAGCTACACATTCTTTTTCAAGGACAGAAAAATAGATTGGGAGCCAAGGAATTATACAGACGAGTATCCGACGGTCGGTGCCCGAGCAGCGATGGTACATACAATTATGGGACTACCTACACCTACCACGCTGAATTCAAATTCGAGCATGTTCAGATGGCTATGAAGTTACATCGTCGTGGCCTTCTATCTGACGCAAAGGCCTACTTGACGGGCTCAGCATTTCTTCAACCTGCCCGTGGTCGTATGACTTATTTACCAGCCAGTATAGGTTTGTATCTTTTCGAGCCTCGATTTGTGAATGATCAAATCTCTGTGCGTGCTCAATCTTGGATTCTCATTCCGGGAGAGCAAGGCTCCATACTGCCTAGAAGACACTATACGACGGTGTGTGCTCATCTAGATGGGAATTCACGCAACGAGAACCCATATATTGTGATCTTCAGGTGCAAGTTGAAACACCTTGTCGCTAAGCAAGACTCATGCGAGAATTGCCGCAGTCTGATACGCTGTAGATATTGTCCCACTGAAGTATGTGTTGAAGCAAAGCGTCTCGATCGAGATTCCAAAGGCGGTGTTCTGATTATCACTAAGTGGCAACTTCTTGGGTCTGGGCTGTCTCCTTCAGAAGCGCACTGGAAATTTCATCTCGAATATCCTAGAACTCCATGGCCGTACCTTCCAGATTGTACACCGGGAAGTATTCGGGCAGGCTACGAAGATCAGCCTGGAATCAGATATGACTCTCTTCTGAAAGTGACCAAGGCGTCGAAACTGCTTAATGGAAGATAAAAGTTGGGCCGTATGATCATCTAGAAAGGGTGTTATCTGGGATGGACATGGTGCAAGAGTAATGGTCGATCTGGGAGGTTGGGCATCTTCGATTTCATTAATGACTACTTTTGAACAATTAGCTAGTCTATTGGTAGCAAGAATATGCTAAGATACAATCTGAAACATAGTTTTCCCCATTCAAATTGATCGATTTCATATGCTCGATCTTTCCTTTTCATCTTGATTGAACTTCCTCCGGCTTGAAACTCACTTTCCAACTTGAGAGCCAACAGCGTTTGTGTCTTCCCCAAAAACGCCCAGCTTTGGAGTCTGCACACTCGCACGATAGCATGCTAGGGCGATCAGCTGTCCTAAGGTAAGGTACCTGCCTTTTGACAGGAGGCTCATTCCATTTCCGCAAAATTTATCTGGCGGAGGGAAGGAACAATGGCAGAGCGTCTACTCCTACTTCAGCGGCAGTGTTTGCTCCCTCCTTCTTCTTCAAGTTCAGCTGCAATCATGGGATACGCATGGGACATTGCAGTTGGCGTAGCAGCGGTCATCGGTGTGGTTGCGACCGTTGGGTCGTTCGTCACAGGAGCTGCTGTGATGTGTGGATGGAAACCCTTTGCTAGTAAGCAAACCCCCGCGACCCCGCCCCTTGTCCTCCGTGACGGGGATAGAAAAATGTTCAGAGACCTCTTGATCAGTGCTCTGGAGACCCAGCAGAGATCACCGAGCTCAACGCCAAATTTCCCATTCCTAGGACTCCTAGGAGGAGAAATGGCTAATGCTTTCTAGCACCGGGATCAGGTGCAATGATGGTCATGCGTACTCGGACCTGAGCATCTGGACCGGGCACTGCGCTCCGTTCCGAGGGCAGTTGTGGTGTGGTCAGCACAGAGACCCACCTGTACGTTGGTGCTGGCTACGAACCTATTGTTACTGCTCGCAGTCAGGAACGCCAAGAGGTCTCAAACTGGCAGCGGTGGCACTCATCTGGTAATTCCTTCATTTTCAGCCAGAGATTGCCTGCTCTGACAAGATCTCTTAGGTCGAGAGAAATCGTATCTCTCCGTCCATCCATCTCTGAGCATCGATCCCACCAACGGTAGCAAGATCTCTTGGAAGCTGATTTGCATGATACGAAGAGTCTGAAGACGCTCACTGATGATGGTTTTTGACAACATCAAAGTAGCGGGCGGACATGATTCAGACAGTCCAGTGGAGATACTACAACTCGGCTTTGAGGAAGGTGCGGCTGGTGATGCATTACTGAAAACTAGATCTTCTTTCAGTCATTTCTCATAGCAACCCTCGAATCTCTCTGCGCCTAAGCACTCTTATCATCCATGTTCGTGACCCAGATCCATCTGAGCCATATAGTCAACATAGCTTCGCAGAACGCTTGCGACAGCTTCCATGCCGCCGTCTATGTACATAGCCCTGATAATTGCCGTGGTGACGAGAAAAAACGACTCCATACCTGTGTGTTCGCGAACTTCACGACCGCCAGTTCCCATTAGGAGGAACAATCCCATCTCCGCCCCACGCTCCCATACTACTTCCATGAGCCATTTATCGTCTGGTATAGTGTCAACAACTTGCAGGACCTTAGTAACCCTGGGTTTTAACCTAGCTTGGGCAATAGGGACCACGAGGGTCAGTTAGACCACTATGCCTGTATTCCCCTGCGGCAGCTGCAAGGCCGATGACATGTTCTCCGACTACTCGTAACCCCCTGTTGTCCTTGGAGTCATTCCATCTCACAAAAGATCCGGGGAACTGAAGTGCCTCCAAAAGAAGCATAGGGCTCCTGAAGCTATAGGAAGCGTGTTCTTCAACATTCATTAGTACGGTCGTGACTGGACCGTCTATGCCTTCAAATCGATCAGGAGCCATTGTTCGAGATCGAGACAGTTCCTAAATGTTCAGGAGAGCAGAGAACCTAAAACGTGAGGCTGTTTTGTTCAGTTGTTCAGGTAAAGGTCTCCGCTCTTCAAGTTGAGACTGACTTGAATGTTGAAGGGATTCAAAAGGTGGAGAGTTGCAAGTATATACCTTGATCGGCTCATTGACGAAAATACGAAAATAATTGAGCATACAAACTCTCGCGAGCACGACATTCCATCCGAGCTTACATGCGAGAGGTGCTTCCAGCTGTTGCCTAATACATAGCAAAACCCTCAGATCCATAACAGTCATCTGCGCAAAGCAGTTGCATGGGGCGTACTGCCACACAGAACGGAGTTGGACCCTACAGTAATTATTCCAAACAAGAGAATCAGGAGTGGTGGTTGTCTTTGCACTAGTAAGAAGAAGAAGAAGAAGAAGAAGAAGAAGAAAGAAGAAGAGGTCACCGCATGATTGGGGGAGGCCGCGGTGCCAAGGCGCTGAGCCTAAGTGGGAACCCGGTGGAGGAATCCATAACAGTGTGTAAGCATCTGGCTGTAAGAGGGCTAGTAGATGCGTCAAAATTTTGAAAAACATTGTTGAAATCCTACATAATCAGCATCCTCTTGACGACGGGGCTAATCGTAAGAGTGAGAGCGTCTGCGGCGTTTTGAACTCCCTCCTCCTTTCGGACTATAACTTAACGACGCCGTCGAACTCCTTTTGAGTGTCCTGTCAGAGCTTCTCTCTACGTACGACTGCCAGTACGTCAATGACCCGTTCGCGAAAATTGTCCTCGGTAAGCGTGCGAATCTTTTCAGACTCGCTGTTGACAGCCATGGTGTGGTATGTATATGTTAAGTACGTATGCACTTGCTTGAAAGATTCGAATGACTGATTGTGACTTGAAGTAGTTACGAACGAAACAAATTGGGAGATACAGCGGTGTGACAGTGCGGAACGCGACCTCATAATCTGTTTGCATGTGGTTGGAATGGTTGTTGTTCTATGAAGAAGAAGGGCTGTAAAGCTTACTAAGGTAAATCGGGTAGTAGTGGGACAGCCCTACAGCAAGGCTGGGAGCATATTGTCAACAGGTTGATTGAGACGGAGATATGTGTGGATCCATAGTATTGGTAAAGTACCTTAACAAACAAATAATTATCGTACGTGTCGATAAATACTAAAGTAGCAAGTAAATATTGCAGAGAATCGATCAATATGATTTTGGGACCGAGTTTGAAGATCTTGATATTCTCTACGACTTTATCCTAGTAGACTTATTACTAAAACCCCTTGTTGCATTTCTGTGAGCTGGTGAAGATCTTGCCGAGTAGTGGCGGTATACAAGAGTTGAGGAAAAGGCAGTGGAATCTAAAGATAAATAATATGAATTAGATTAGAGATATTTTTCATTGTCGACGGCCGTGTGGCCCAATGGCAAGGCGTTCGACTACGAATCGAAAGATTCTGAGTTCGATCCTCAGCTCGGTCAGCATTATTTTTTGTTTTCGACAAATAATCCAGTTTTTATCTAGATTATCGGGAATTTGGAACTGGCCGCCAGGCCCTTAATAAGATAGGATAGAATTAGTTACTCGAACATCAAAATCCCAGATTAAATTACTGCATCAAACGGACAGTCTGAGAACGGCTTCTGATTTATTTACGCGATAACTTTTTCCATTAGTGTGATAATTACCTCGATCGCGCGAGATAGAGCGGCAGTCACTCTGGACTTAGTAAGGGGTGAGATCGGGGTACATTTCTTACCGTACAGCTTGGCATACGAGCACCTCCGTTGATCGGATCCTCTTGATGTCGCCATCACTCATGAGTAGTATAGATGGATTTTTTTCTTGTCACATTCTTTCTTTCCTCTGATAAACAAATCGCCTCCTTTTAAATCTATCAGACAGAAGAAGCACATGCGCTCCGTGCTCAGGAGGCCAATCTTCCCCGGAGTATCCCGTCTCTCCAGACCGAGCAATATTTCCAGTCAAACCTTTAGCATCGCAATGGTCAGAAGTGATCCATTCCAGCCCGCAAAAAGGGTTGCAAGCCAGAAGCAGGATGTCTGGTAAGTTTACCGATATCTTGTTGAGCGTTGGCAACGGGTGTCAAACATGGTCTATCGAAAAGAAGGCGGATTTACCTTACGCGCGGAGAAGGTTTGAAGAGTGCCAATGCGTTATCGTAGGACCATTGTCAACGAGGCGGCAACGGCGTCACCGGTACAGCCCATCATAAATATGGGCCAAGGCTTCTTGTAAGTGTTGGCGATATATCTGGTTGGGCAAGCCTTTGTATTGACTACTTGGAGTGGCTACAACCCTCCCCAATTTGTCACCGATGCTGCAAAAGAAGCATTGGACAGGGTCGAGTGCAATCAATACTCTCCTACGAAGGTGCGTATGAATCACAGGGTGATATACTGCCTGCTGAGTAAACGCTAGGGTCGGCCACGATTAAAGAAGGCAATAGCAGATGCGTACTCGCCCTTCTTCGGCAGGAAGATAAATCCAGACACAGAAGTCACTATCACTACAGGAGCGAATGAAGGTATGCTTAGTGCTTTCATGGGCTTTGTCGAGCCAGGAGATGAAGTCATTATATTTGAGCCTTTCTTCGATCAGTATGCATTACCCCCATCAACCTGTCCTCAGGACTGAAGTCTTGTAGATACATCCCCAACATCGAGATGGCCGGCGGCAAAGTGGTCTACGCGTCTCTTCAACCACCAAAGGAAGGAGCTACCAAGACAACCTCCGCTTCCGAATGGGCGATTGACTTTTCCGAATTGGAAAAGTCCATCAACGACAAAACCCGCATGATCGTTCTGAATTCTCCACACAATCCTATCGGAAAGGTCTTTTCAAAAAAAGAACTTGAGCACATAGGCACCCTTTGCGTTAGACACAACATCATCATCCTCTCCGACGAAGTCTATGACCGCCTTTACTACGTTCCTTTCACCCGCGTCGCCACGCTTTCACCAGAAATCGCTAAGCTGACCTTGACTGTTGGCTCAGCTGGCAAGAACTTCTATGCCACAGGGTGGCGTGTAGGGTGGCTTATTGGGCCAGAGCATTTGATCAAGTACGTCTCTGCCGCGCATACGAGGATCTGCTATAGCAGTGTGAGTCCTCTGCAAGAGGCCGCAGCTGTCGGGTTTGAAAGAGCGGACGAGTTAGGCTTCTGGGAGCAGAGTAAGCGCGAGATGAAGTCTAAAATGAGCCGCTTCTGCGAAGTGTTCGACGAGCTGGGCCTGCCATATTCTGAACCCGAAGGCGGATACTTTGTGCTCGCCAATTTAAGCAAGGTGAAATTGCCAGAGGGTTATGATTTTCCGCCGCATGTAGCGGAGCGACCAAGGGACTTCAAGCTGAGTTGGTTTTGCATCATGGAGCTCGGTGTTGCTGCCATTCCGCCGACGGAGTTTTACACAGATGAGAACGCGCACTTGGTTGAGGACTGGTTGCGCTTCGCGGTCTGCAAGGATGATGAGGTGTTGGACGGGGCGAAAGAGCGATTGAGGGGTCTGAAAAAGTATATGGCGTGATGTCAACAGAAACGAATTTGATAAATCGTGTGATGATATGACGAGGCCATGTAGACAGGGTGTCAGCGAGCACTTAGATCTCTTAGACAATTTCCTCAAGCCTCAGCAGCGACCATTGGCCCAACGTCGCCCTCCTTCGTTCTTCCCAAGCCATCTTTAGCGTAGAAGTCCATAGGATAAACACCTTGATTACCATGGCCCCAATCCTCCCTTGCCTCCAAAGCAACGAGTGCTTCGTAAGGCGTGAGCAACGGCTTGGGGAAAGCGTAGCCCCAGTCAATGCTCAGTCTGGGGCAAGCTATTTGCACCCAGCAATCGACATCGTTCATCATCGCCAGCTTCCCTGGGAAGATTTCGCTCAGCAGCAGGTTTATAAATGGAATTCCACGCTCATCAAGGGTATGTTCGATCATAGTCATAGTGTGGGGATTTCCTTGACGACCGAGAGAGCCGAGTATGAGACCCCATTTCTTGGCCTTTTTGGCCGACTTGATGGCTTGTCGGCGTAGATCATGCATCTCCTCATGATCGTACGTTTCGCGAGTGAGCTTTCGTGAATAAGGATCATAGCGATAGGCGGGCAACGAGGGGTTGTGAATCATGGCAGACTCGAGATGGAAGCGGCCATCTCCCAGGTAGACGATGAGGTCCGCTTGATGGGTCGAAAGACGTGGCGAAGTGCAGCCAAGAATCTCGCCTCTGCTGAGTGGCGTGATTTGTGGAATCAAGACCTTAAAGCCGGCGCGCTCGAGGACGGGCTTCACAGTGTGGAGAGTGGCATTGAATTGGATAGTCCCTACCATGGCGATGGTCTTGCCTGGCTGAAAATTCCGCTCTAGGGTCGCTAAGAGATGGGATGTGTCTATGCTTATATCAACAAAGACGTAGAGAGTCTTGATCTTTGTGATGTCCACTGGTATGAGACAGCTATGCGCGTAGTGTATCAGAATATCACATCCAAGGGCTCGAGCAGTATAGTCGTCTATGCAACATGCTCCATACGTCACATCGCCCATGATGAGCGTCTCGGTCCCTGGGCAGAATCGGGTAAGGATGTCTGAGATGGTGGTAGCGAATAGCAGTAGGCCTTCTGGAAATTGTAAGGCTATCTTCTTGGAACAAGATGTGCGTATTCGATGTATTGTCTTGTGTATTTCGAAGGAGTAATTCGGAGGTAGAAGAGATATGGCATCGTTGATTTCTAGATCGTTTAGTATTTCTGAAGGAACTTGGTTGAGCGCTCTGGCCGTCTTTCTTGGTTGTGCGACTGCAGAGTGTCAGTTATCCGTTCGCAGACTTCCGAGGCTCTTTAGGCACCCTGAATAGCCCCACTGTCTTCGATGGTCCCATTCGCATCGCCCCTCTTCTCCGCTCGTTCTGCTGCTTCTTTTCTCCCAATGAACCGTTTCCTTGGATATTTTTGCTTTTCCTGTTTCCCTGCACCAAGCTCAGCATCTATCGCCTCGCCGAGGTCGGCCTGGGCCCGATCGTCTTCCATTTTGGCAATTGTATATTCCAAAAGTGTTTTGTTCCTCGAATTGTTACAAATCGGGTTGGGATTTTTATTCTCCGGGTAGTGACCGTGAATTCCAAATCACCCCGCAACTCCGCCGAACTCGAGGACGCCCATTTGTGGGACAGCTTCGCTCTGGCCCCTTTCGCGGTGGTAAGCTTTTACTATGCTTCATACTGGGCCCATTACCGGGCTCGGAAGGCGATTGGGATGTCGGTGTGCCTGCCGAGGCTTCTCCACGAGCATGCGGCGAAGAACAGGAGAGGTACGAATAGTGGAGGTCGGTCCACGCGACGGATTACAAAATGAATCGACATCCATACCGTTGGAGACTAAGATTGAGCTCATACGGCGTCTAGCTCAGACTGGTGTAAGGGATATCGAGGCTGGATCCTTTGTTGCACCAAAATGGGTGCCTCAGGTACTCCAAAACTACAACCGCTGTTCAATATGCAATTGCTGATACGGTATTGCGACTGTAACTAGATGGCAAACTCATCAGAAGTCCTCAATTACCTCCTTGGCCACCCTCCTGCTGCACCAGTCCCGATTGCGTTCAACTTCCTTGTCCCCAATCTCAAAGGCCTCCAGAACTTCCTTAAGGCCTCGGACGACGACAATGCTCCCATCACCTCATCTGAAGACCCGAACAAGATGCCTACAACACCTCCGTTACTAAAGCCTGATGAGAACGGAGAGACAGGGGAGCAGGGGCCGATGATATCAACCGAAGATCCAAATAAGATGTCTTCAGACACATCAAGCAAGGACAATTCGATACAGCCCAACAACTCGTCTGCGTTCTCCAACTCAATGGAGGTATCTCTATTCACTGCAGCGACAGAAGAATTCTCCAAAAAAAACACCAATTGCACGATCGCAGAATCACTGGAACGATGTAGGCCGATTGTGTCCCTTGCAAAGTCGCGGAACATCCGAGTGCGTGGCTACGTATCGGTAGCACTTGGCTGTCCGTATGAAGGTCCTGACGTTCCTCCGGCGAAGGTGGCAGAAATTACTGCAACTTTGCTGGAAATGGGTGCAGATGAAGTCTCTGTAGCAGACACCACTGGCATGGGCACAGCACCGAAGACCCAAGAGCTCCTCAAAGCCCTGTTCGGAGCTGGGATATCCGCCAAGGACTTAGCATTGCATTTGCACGACACGTATGGACAGGCCCTCGTCAATGCTGTGGTGGGATTAGAGCAGGGCATCAGGACGTTCGATAGCAGTGTCGGTGGGCTAGGCGGTTGTCCATACTCGAAAGGCGCTACTGGGAACGTTGCGACAGAAGACCTCCTCCATTGCTTGCATAGCCTTGGCGCCATCACGGGAGTAGACGTTGAGAAGATGGCAGAAATTGGCAATTGGATATCCAAAGAACTCGGCAGACCCAACGATAGCCGAGCAGGGAAGGCTTATCTGGCAAGGTTATCTTCGTAGTGAGAAGCTGTCTCTTCTGGATGAGAACCGTGCCTTGGGCGATATGCTAGGATGCTCAGGCAGGATCCCCGGATCAAGCCCTTGAAGTCTCGAAGCAGGCGGGCAATTGGCCAAAGCTCTGAAGGCCAACCGTGGTCGTTGGCTGTCACCGCATTGCCGGTGGGGGACTGAATCCAAGAACTTTTCCAAGGTTTCGGTTCGATCAAGCCAGCGAACCCGGTTAGGAAGGGGCAGACGCTTGCTCGTTAGGCTTTTGGAAGTGTTTGGGCCGAGAAATTAGTAGCTTGTAGGTCCGGAATTCCCCATTCAACGCTGGAATCGCGGCTTGACTCCCGTAAAAGTATCGCTGCTCGTGGTATCTCAGTCTTTCGCAGTGTCAACCACAACATACCGCCCCAATCTCTGTGGTGCCTGAGCCAGCAGATCCAAACCTTCACCCCCCTCTTTACCACTCTCCCCCTTCGCCTCTGCAGCCTTCTTTCTCACAATCCTTCCCCTCATCCCCACCACCTCTTCCTTCTCCAACTCCCCCCTCATTGCCTCCAACCCAATCGTTCTCTCCCTTTCGCCTTCCTCAGTCTCATCCCGTAGCGCAACCAATGGCTCCACGCCCTCCGTATCGACTTCTTGTATGGCTTTCACGAACTGGAGTTGCGATTGGAGATCGGATATCATGCGGCTTTCCTCAGCTATGGATGTGGGGAGTGGGAGGGCGGAGAGGCGGAGCAGGTGGTGCAGTTGTTTCTGGGTGATCTGTGGCGTAGGGGTGGAGGCTGAGTTTGGAGGAGTGAAAAGCGATTTTACGGACCATGAGGGTTTGGCAAGGAGAGCTTCAAGGTCATCTGAGGGCTTGGTGGTTGAGGAGAGCGTTCGTATAGCGAATGCATTGGATTGTACTTTGCTGGAAAGAATGTTTCTGAGCCAATGCCGGGAAATCATTGCACAGGTATCTCTGGAGTGGTCGCTGGTTGCAATGCGGAATGTGCATGAACTCAAGATCTGTAGGGCTGAGGTCTTAGCGCGCTATCGGCGGGATATTCCCGGTTCTTTTATGAATTGCAAATTAAATAAGAATGCTTGGCAAACCTAACCTAGCTCCGCCTCCGACTTTTTATTAGCGTTATTTATAGAAAATTATAGAGAATATATTTATTACTCTTATAATAATTACTATTATCTATTATCTTAATTAAATATTCGTAATATTAAAGCTAGTAAGTATATACGCTTTTCTAGTATTTTATCTTAGCTCTTACTTTAGATATAATATTACTATTTAGAAAGAATTTCTCTATATATTAATATATCTAACTTTTACTTAAATCTCATTAGCGATCTAAAGTTATAATTAAAAATATCTATTTTAATATATTAATTAGTATATATAATAGAATAAGGTAGGGCTAAGCTTGAAAATCTTGAATTTATATATATAGCCAATTATAAATTCAGGGTTACTACGCTCTTTGGTTAGATCGGCTGAGTCATCGCGGGTAAATAAATTAGCGTCCGCAACCATCAAAATCTCGCCCTCCCGCGTCTCCCTCATCAAAAATAGGTATACGTTATTCACGAATAGAATAACTTTTTTGTTTTCTATTGAAATTTTGAGATTTTTTTTTAAATTATGGAGCGTCATTTGCGCTTTCCAAATTTTTAAGAATTTTGAAATTTGGTCTTATAATTATTAATCAGCAAGGAAACTAAATATCGCTCACCAAAGTTCGCTCACCTATTTACTCGATAGCCCTAATCAAAAAGATGATTATAAATTTAATTCATAGGCCTTTACTCGTAGCGTATTAATAAGAGCGAAACCTTGCTATCTATAATAATATCGTAATCTCTTATAATAGATATATTTATATATAAGAGCGATATTATAGCCTCTTATCTACTATTTTAAACGCTCTTTTTAATTATTAGCGTTAAAAGCTATAATTATATTAAGACGAATTAGTATAGTTCTTAAAAGAGGAGTAGAATATTAAGGTTTATAAGTTTATTATTTATAGGACTCTAAAATAGATTAGAGTTATATATAAGAAGAATTAAAGGATTGATTCTTAAAGTAATATACTTCGTATTATATAATGTGAGGATGGTTCGGCTACCACTAGGCCATAGGCCAAAAGGATCGGGGTATCGCGCTTCATGGCCGATACGCCCTATTTGGCTCTATAAGAGCCTGCTATACCCCCTGTAGACTGTTAAAGCGATCAGCCCTTACAACTATCCCCCTTAAGGCCGCGTCCTCGCGGCTCTAAAAGAATTAATTCGAGGGCTTTACCCTGATCAGCGACCCCCGCAGAGCCGACTTAGGGCGCAATACGCCACCCTTGCCCGGTTGTCCGGGACTTCTTGCCTCAGAGGTCCCTATGGGACATGAGATACGTCATAGGGACCCTTTCGGGGTATGTGCCTCGGTACTGGTGTACCGAGACTTCTTGGCTCAGAGGTCCCTATGGGACATGAGATACGTCACAGGGACCCTTTCGGGGTATGTGCCTCGGTACTGGTGTACCGAGACTTCTTGGCTCAGAGGTCCCTATGGGACATGAGATACGTCACAGGGACCCTTTCGGGGTATGTGCCTCGGTACTGGTGTACCGAGGTTCGGTTACCGAAAGCCTTAGGGTACGGAATTGTACCGCTCCTGGAAGTCGGTACCCGGTAAATCTGGAACTTTGCCCTCTGGAAAATGTTTTTCGCCCGTACATGACGGGGTCGAACCCTCGGAATCAAGGAATTAGCGGATACACCCCGCAGTGGCTAGCCTTCCCGGGGTTAGCCAAGCCCCGGAATTTCAGCGCGATACAGTTGTGAGGATGGTTCGGCTACCACCGGGCCATAGGCCAAAAGGACGGGGGTATCGCGCTTCATGGCCGATACGCCCTATTTGACTCTATAAGAGCCTGCTATACCCCCGCTGTAGACTGTTAAAGCGATCAGCCCTTACATATAATAAGCGTTTATAAGTTAAATTAAGGCGGAGTAGCTAATCTTTATTAATAAATTATTATTTAAGTTATAAACGATATAGCGGTTTATAGCTTATACTTCTATCGATAACTCTACTTAATATTATAATAATATAAGATAAGATAATACTTTTAGTATTCTATCTATATATATTACTACTAACTATCTATTCTATATTAAAATTAAGAAAGACTATTATAATAAGAAAGATATTCTTAACTAGCTAATTAATCGATTACTACTTCTTTATAATAAGTATTTTAAGAAATATAATATTATTATTCTAGATAACGTTAACGTTTATATCGATTCTTATATTATTAAGACTATATAGATTAAAGACTATCTTATTAAGTACTTTTCTTTATACTCGTCTAATTATAATTCTATCGAATTAATATTTAACGTTCTTAAGGCGTAAATACGACGTTATTTTAAGATCTTTCGATATATCTTTTAGAATAACTTTAAAGAATTTCTAAAGTATATAATCGATGTTAGTAACTATAATAGATTTATAATAGAGTATTTTAAGTATAGTACTATAGATTATATATTTAATAATAAAATTAAGATATTTAAATAAGATTTAAAGTATTTAACTATGAAGATCGCGGAGTAATTATAATAAAATACTATATAATATTAATTAAATCCTTTACTTTATCTCTATTTTTATTCTAATTATTCTAGAGTATAGATATATTAATAAGTCTCTCTTTATAAGATCTTAAAGACTAATAGATCTTCTTTTAAATCTCGAAGAAGATTATATAATAAATCTTTACTTATTATATATTTATAAATATCGATGAACGCGTTAGATAGAGCTTTTATATCGTTTATATCTTATATCTACTATTTAATAAACGTCTAAATCTAATAGATCTAGAGCTTCCTCGCCGCTTTATTTATATTCTTCTTCTTCTACTATTAAAAGCGCTTAATAATATCTTTCTTTTTAATATGTATATCGATAAAACTTAATTATTATAAAAATAATATTTTTTATTTATAAAATCTTTATAGTAGTAGAAGAAGAAGAAGAAAAAGAAGAAGAGGTATTAATTAATTATTATTATAAATAGCTATCGAAATATTAAGATAATATAAAAGAATATATAGATAAAGACTAATAAGAAGAAAGCTAATAAGAAAAAGATTAATAGAATTATTACGAGTATAATAACTAACTTTCTTTACTAGCTATACTCGCTATAGACTTTATACTCTTTAATAAATTAAGCTTTATTTACTACTTTATTATAATCTTTATTTATTTTATTAAAATTATCTTCTTCTTCTTCTAACTATTATTATTAACGCTAAAGTTTATATTTATAAAGGTCTTATATATAAGTAGAGAAGGCTAATATTAAATAATCTAATCGTCTTAAATAGTAATAGTTTATCTCTCTCTCATTATAGCGTTTATCTTATAATACTTATTATTCTTATCGATTTAATAGATATTCTTATATTTATAGCTCGTAACTTAATATTTTTATCTAGTAATTAATTACTCTAAATAATTATTAAAAGTCTTTTATTAATCGCGAATAATAGTATATTAATTTTTAAGATTACTAGTTCTTATTTAACGATAAAAAGAAGATTATATAAGCCTATCTACGATCTAAATATCTCTTTTAAAATTAATACGATTAATATAAATAAGCTCTATATCGAGAATATACTTAGAACGCTTTTATTATTTAACTATAGTAATAAATTTAACTCGCTACTCTTATTATTTAATAGATATAATATTTAAAATAAAGTTCTAATAAGTTCTCTTAAAGTAAGTAGATTTCGCTTATTCTTAAATCTTATTAAGATTATTAATATTATATTACTCTATAGCTATATTAAGATTAATATTTAAGATATAAATATCGAAGCTTTCTTTAATATATAGGCCTTTAATCTTATTAAATTACTTAATAGATATATATAATCTATTTTACACTCTTAATATAACTCTTATAGAATACTTATAAGATCTATTTCTTATATTCTTATCTCTCTTTATTATCGTAAGAATTTAAGACGAATAAGACTCTCTAAGCTTTATCTTATTTAGAAGCTCTTTAATTATTATTCTAATATCTCTTTATATAACTACTTATTCTTTCTTCTCGCAATAAACGATAGTAGTATAAATCTCTTACTTATAGCGAATAATAATAACACGTTATTCTTTAAGCTTCTTCTTATATTATAAAGTCTTTATCTCGACTTTTAGACGAGTTATATACTTCTTCTACTCTTTATAATATATAGTCTTCTTCTTTTTATAACGTTTAATAATCTCTTTTTACTTTTTTAAGATTACTTTATTAACTATAGCTTTAATCTTTATCTAAATAACTTAGATTTTCTCTTATTTCTTCTTCTACTAGACTATAGTAGTAGTAATATTATCTTACTTATTCGCGAAAGAGACTCGCTTAAAGAAGAGGCGATAACGAGATTTAGAGGGTCTTTAATTATTAATAGCCGTCTTAGTTATCTAACGAGAATTAACGATATTTCGAGATATTATAATATTATTATATTCGTATTTAAGCTATATAAAAGCTTTAAAAATATAAAGTAGACTGATATAAGAGTGATAAATATATTCTCTATAATTTTCTATGAATGACGCTAACAAAAAGTCGGAGGCGGAGCTGGGTCAGTTTTGCCAAGCATTCTTATTTAATTTGCAATTCATAATTGGCGCCAGCAGCAATTGGCCGCGAGGAATTGAAACCGGCAACAGATATTTCTCTTGACGCTTGTATATTACGAACATGCAGCAACGCAACACTTCCACTATATCTCACCTAGAAGCCAACGTAAGGCCGGCATACTAGATCCACCGAGCCATCCAGGTTCAAACCCTGACGCAAACTATGCATCCCCGACCTCAAGGAACAGATTATAAAACCCCCCCGTCCCAGAATCCCCCGTCCGAAAAGCCGTCACGGCCGTCACTTCCTTCCTCCCCAGCGTATCCTGATGATTGACCAAGAACCACGCGACCCCATACCCATGCGCCGTGCCCAGCAGCGCCTTCCCCCGCTCCGTATCCGTGCCGAACCTCACCCCGGGCCAGGGACTCAGCTTGCCCGCTCCGCCGACGGCTTCGTCGATGACGGCCACGGTCGGAGAGTCGGTCCTGATGTGGTGTCTGAAGAAGCGTCGGACGTTCTTCACGGCGTCGGGCTCGTCGCGGCAGAGGTCGGCCCAGACGAGGTAGACGACGTCGGACCATCTGTTGAGGGCGGGGTGGACGGTCCCGGGGCCCTTGTGCGTCCTTTGGGGGTTGGAGTTGAATTCGGCGATGATGAGGCCGTGGGTGGGGTTGTAGTATTGCTGGTATTGCGCGTAGGTAGGTGGCTGGATAGGGGGTATGTTAGCATTTGCTTGGACCAGGATTTCCTGTCTCATGACTTACATGTTCAATGTTCGATCCAGGGAGTTTGAAATCGTCTTGTTGCATCATGTTCACTGCGAAAACCTCATTTAGCATATGTATGAATGATTCGTGTTGCATGGCGCATCGTGCCAAATAGCCAGACGTTGGTGCGATGGAAAGAGAAGAGACAAAGCTTACCATAGGTGCCCTCCGCCGCCCCCAACGCGGTCAGCGCAGGTTCGAGATCCGTATCCGTCGCCCCGTCAGTCGGAAAACTGCTCCAGCCACTATCCGCGAGGTCTGCGTAGGACCGAAACTCGCTCTGCGGACCACCGTCGGTCATTTGACGAAGCAAAGCCGAGCCACTTTGGACGGCCTGAGTCCATGACATGGCAACGTCGGAGGATCTCTTGGGAAGCTGTGTGGGTGTGCCAACGGGTACGGATCGCTTGCTGACGGCATTGTGATTTTGGTTGATGGATCCTATGGCTGGATGTGCTACGGGCGTAGCACTGGTAGCGATTGTGGATGATGAAATAGAGAGGAAAGAAAACACATAGAGAGAGACCTCAATGGCATTTACTTTGGTCCTTGAAAGAAATGGGGGGGGGGGTAGGAAGTAGCGACGAGGCAGCAGTGAGTCATGAATGAAGAGCATGTGGAAGTGAAGTCTCAACTTGATGAGTAAAACGGCGTAAATGCTCACACGTCGCCTCACCTCGGGCTTTTCACAATTTCATCTTGCTCTTGGCGTTTGAGCTCGCGACAAGGCTCCTCAAGAGAGTATCTAGGGCGAGATGAGCGAAGTTCGAGGACCGCCGTTGCTTCAATTCGAGAAAAGGCATCTCTTATCGGTGGAAGATCGAATGTCTTTAAATACTGAGTGAGCGTATGATGCAAACGCACAGTTCATCAACTTCAGCCCGAGCCTCTATAGTCTAATCTGGAAGCCCCAACATGTCCTTTTTCCAATACCTGCCCGCATCCCTAACAACCGACCTTCCCTGTCAGTCTTTACTCAGCCAACTACTTCCCATACTTGACTCCTCCTGCAGATTATTCATCGTCCTTGCTGACCCTGCCATCTCTCTTCGCCATTGGGCCTCTGAATCCAGCGTAAGCAGCACTCGGCACCTTCCTATGATGGCGCGGCCTTCCCGTCCCACTAGGAATCCATCCTGTTCCCGAAGGAAGCCATACTCCAGTAGCAGTAGGCATCGGTCCCTCAGTATGGTTGTGGTGATGGAGATAATGGGTACTGTTCCATGGCTGGCGGTAGACGACAACCTCATCGCCATCGACGACAACTTTTTCTAACATCTTGCCCCCGTCCATCGTCTCATTCGCAGGGCTATAGTTCGTCCCGTTGGGGTAGTGCGTGCCATTGTAGACGAAGATGTGCTCGCCATGAGCGTTGAACTCGGCTAAAATGCCATCTTTTCTATCTTCGTGATGCGTGCCATTCCAATTGTGGTCGCGTGTGCCATTGTGGTGGCGATGGTGTTCCATTTTTTCGTCCTCTTCCATCATATGGTGCCTTTCGCGAGATTCGTCATGAGAAATTTTCGAGGCTCCGTCGATAAGCCTAGGGTCAGACCCCTCTGAGCCATTGTCCGCAGGAGACGAAGACGAGGAAGAGTCTGCAGGGGAGTGGTGGTTAGCAGGATTCACACGGGAGAGACCGACGTCGATGAATTCGCCAGGATTGGAGGCTGGACCTTGAGGGCTGCGGGCTGAGAGGTCGCGTTTGAGATTCAAGGAAACGCCGAGCGATGGGTCATCGGTCAGGGAGGCAGCGGCCTCCGGGAGTGTTTCACGTTTGCTGCCTTGGATTTCTGGTTCGGAGGATCCAGGTTGGGGAGAGCGAGGGACGAGGCTGCCTGAGGTGTCTCGTTTGAGAGAGCTAGAGGTGCTTCCGAGCTCAGAGCCAATGAGCTGGGGGACAGCGGCGGCACGAATGCTAGGGAGGAGGAAGAGCAGAGAGAGGGCTGCCGAGGACTTCATGGCTGCACGATCAGACGGTGTATTGCAAATATACCAGATGCAAAAAGAAAGACCGTTCGGGAAAGATCAAACGAAAGTTTTTGGATAAAGTGCAGAAAAGACTGTCGGTCATATGCAGGCGAAAAGATGTGCCAAGGCATTCGAGGTTATATATATCATTGCATAGCCTACCGTCTATCGCTTCTTCGCGTTTACAGTCAACGGCAGAGGCTGACGCAAGCTCAGTCTCCGAGACAGTGGTATGCGTCGTATGCGATGCCTAGGATTTCACATCCGTAACATTTGCGCAACTTTGGACAAATGAAAGATGGCAGTGATGAACGTGCGCTGCAAACGAAACAGCAATGGTATCAGACCAATTGTCTGAGACCGTAGACATCAGAACAGGCCCAAATGTAATAGATGCGCCAAACATTGCACCACAACAGAGCAGTAAAGACATCTTGGTTTGGAGAGATACAGTCCATTTGCAAGTCCTCATATATGGCTCAGGCCATCAATACGGCCTTCGATGGAGCATGATTGATTCAGGTACCAGAAATAGGCTCCGTTGCGACCACGTATAACGTAACGGCTGCGGCCATCTTCCGGGTCTACTGCTGGCGATAGGAGAGTTTCAGAAGATGCGAACGAAACGTTCAAGCGTCGAAGCGATTTCGTAGCCGCTAGGCCAGGAAAGGACATTCCGACGTTTGCCCCTGGCTCAGTGCGACGAAGAGATTGAATAAGACAAGGCATTGTGGATTTACTTGGGCATCGCCGACCGGAATGATGGTCTATAGAGCCTGGAAGTTGGTGGGCAGTAAGGAATCTATTGAAGGCTTTCCTCGCCCGGACATGGTTTCAAGACTGCAGTGAACGCCACATTGAATAACCTCGAAAACGACTCGATTCCCCAAGCTCCGCTCCATCTCCTTCCACCGCTCAGACAATTCTGCAAAGAACTGTCTATCGACAACCATCATGGCGGACAAAGCCCCCAAGAGCACGGATGGAGCAGCGAAGCAGCGCATCATCACCCACATGAACAACGATCACCAAGACTCCCTTATCCGCTACCTCCGGTACTACGCCCAGCTCTCCAGCTTCTCCGCTCGTAATGCCCATCTAGCCGACATCAGCTTCACCGACCTGACCATCCTCTCTTCCAGCGGCACACCTCATACCGTACCCATCAAGCCTGCCATGACATCCTGGTCGGAAGCTAGACCGCGAGTGGTAGCCATGGACGCTGAAGCGGTCGCCGGCCTGGGTGCTAGCGACATCACGGTGAAGAAGTACAAGTCACCGCGCGGCTTTATGACGGTCGTCTTCGTCGCCTGCGTGCTCACCCACATCTTCTTCTGCCGCCGCGCCAACTTCGAACCCGGCTCAGTCCTCTATGATGCATTACTTAAGTACGTCCCGAGCTTGGCGAATTTCTGCCGGACCATTCAAGCACCGCTGTTTTGGTTCATGATCGTGGTGCATGGAGGGGAGGCAGCGTGGATGGCGAAGAGCAGGTTAGAGAAGCATACGGTTAGGATTTTCAGTAGGGTGTGGTGGATGTGGGTATTGAGTTGCTATATGGAGGGGTTTGGGAGCTATGTACGGTTCGATGAGTGTGTGAGGGAGGAGCAGGAGAAGAGAGAGGGAATGAAGCATTGAGGAAGTGGCACGCACATATGGATTGAAGCAGCCTTAAAAGAGATGGTCGCGCATGCACTATATTCTATCCGAGAGAGACGACTTGATCAAAAATTTGCTGGAGACGATTTCCCTGCCGCTTTGTGATTGGTGATGTTAAGCGAGTGCTGAAGGGAATTGAGTTTCCAAGATGAGGAGGCTCAAGGCCAGCCAGCAAAGCGAAAGGAGCAAAAAATCCAGTTGTCGTAGGAAATGAAAGCGACACCATTGGCTGACCGAGTGAAGAAGCCATGGATCAGCTTTTAGTGGTGGGTGGTGTGGGTGGGTGGGTGACGCTGCTCATGTTGAAAGAGTTCACAAGAAAAAAGAAAAAAAAAAAAAGAAAGAAAAAAAGGTAACAGTCGGGGTCGAACCGAGGAGCAAAAGGAAAATCACCCAGACTACAGGAGCTCCAGCTTTATTAAAGACTGTGCATATTCATCTGGATGCAAACCCTCGAACCGACGTTAGTGGCAATGCTGTACTAGGCCAAAGCTGGACGAGTAAGGCCTCATCAGTTTTAACTTGGGTGTTCCAGTGTAAACCACTAGGCCATACTGCTCGATGGAAGAAAAGTTACCGAAATAATATATAACCTTAATTTACTAAACATGGTCAACACGGCCAAGCATTAGCGGCACCATCAGCCAGTGGCCACTTGCGGATCCACGATTTACTAGTTCCTAATGTCTTCATTCGCGCTGGTCATGAAATTGAATTGATGCTGTCTGGCCATTCCTATGCATGGCTACCAATCGTTGGCCAAAGCGACACCGCCCTGCTCCCAGTCCTCGTCTCCCAGCTCTTCCCCCTCCTCCGACCCCACATCCCCCTTGGCCTCCATTGTCACTTCCGTCTCCCTGTCCTCCTTAGCCTTCCCGTCCTCCTCGTCTCCTCCTCCTTCTCCACACTCTGCTCCTCTCGCCATCAGACTCTCCTCACTTAGCTGCCTCAACTCCTCATGAGTCAATTTCCCAGCATCGACATCCTCCGCCGCCATTTGCAGCATGATCATCGCCGCAGAAGCATCCATCTCACGCAGCGAGGGCTTCTCACTCTCGGGGACCTTTTTAGAGAAGAATTGTTTCAATTGCTCGGCGCTCTTGGCTGATAGGCCCCCGCGTCCGGGTCTCCCCAAGATGTGGTGGAGGCGGGCGGCGCGTGAGTTACGTAGAGCGGCATCTGCGTTAGCACGTACGGCTGGAGCTGATCAGTTGGCTGGTACGCGTCCCACGAGGGGTGGACATACTGCTGGACTGGGCGCGCTTGAGCTTTCTAGCGGCCTTTTTTTGTTTGCGACGGGAGATGGTGTGGTTTTGCGTAGAGTTCATGATGGTAGGCTCCCGTAATCCTAGGCCGTTTCTTGGCTCGGAGTCTCGCGGTGACGCAGGATGAGCAATCTTGAGGATGAGGATAAGGTGAGAATGATCGGTCACGGACAGTGGTGTTGAGCGTGATTTGGGATTAAGTGCCTCCAGGTGTGGCCAATGGCGTAGAGTATTGAGGTCAGCATTGGGCGAAAAGCACTAGGAGATACGTATGGAGGGATGGCGTTGGTGAGGTTGGTAAAATGACGGGTGAACTGATGAGGCACGCCAAGCATGTATTGTGTTGAAGCACTCGTTGAAGCTGCCGAACCATCTCTGATTTTCGGGCTTCCGCCATTGAAACCTCTCACTGCTCCTTCCATTTGCTGAGAAATCTCCTGGCTGGCCCGCCTATCCCTCTAGATACTGCTCAACTATGATGGTCCGTTTCCCATCTTGTCTTACCAGACATTGTCCCGGTGTCGTAATAGACAAGTGCAAACATCGCGTCACCAAGTACTATCATTGACTGCGCTTAACTCCTGAGCCACCTTTCGATTCGTCCCACAGCAGGATCCTTGCCTAAGCTGCCCACCGCTGTATATGGCTCACCACCTGCACCTCCGCAACTCAAGTCATGTCGCCAGCTTTGATACCAAGCACCCCAGAGCCTTGCACAATTTTCCCGATACAATCTTCTCCCCTATGTGGAATCGATACCTGACAGATATGCCCTACGAACCACCGAATCTATCATCTAAGACCTTGTATTCCAGGTTGAGCTTGGCATGGAAGCGGTGGGCATACTCCCTCTTCTCCGAGACGCAAAGTGCAGAGCTCGAATATGAACGAGTAGCCAAACATGGTAAGGAGGGCTCGGGCGTCATTTGGGGTCCGTGGCCTGCAAAACTGGGCGATGATGTAGTAGGAAGGAGTAGTAGGAAGGAGTGCGGTTGAGATAGAACGGTGGTTTGATCCGCTGTAGAACTTGTCGTTAATGTAGGAGAGAAGGTATGTTCGAGAGGATAACGGCGAAAGTATCACGGCGCAACGCGGCTGATGTTCGTGCGAACTAGACAGGCATATCTCCACGATGTCCTAATTTTCATGATGACTTCCCTGAAGTACTGTATTGGTCGAGCGGAACCTCAGACCACTTGAACGTCTTCACTGGCTTACTGAATTGACCGGTTTGGACCTCAGACTACCTCTCCGTATCCTTGGTTATCGTGGTAGCTCCCCCAGCATTTGCTACAGCTTCCTCTGTCTTGCGAATCTGCTCTTCTGGCGAAGGGTCGTGCTGTTCTTTGAATTCGACGATTCTGTGAAAACATTGGCTTGTAGCCGGCGGATGTGATAGCAGAATGGACTATACATACTGCTCCTGCTCTTTCTGCTCTTTCTCTTGCTTGAATGCTGGGTCAAATATTGCGATGCCTGGACAAAGATCAGCTGGCAATTTTCGGGAACGGGTGGGGACCAGGTCTGCCTACCGGTGCCGACCCCAACTAATGTAACAAGCACGGGAGTCAAGAGGCCCCTTGCATAACTCATGCTGGTTCTGGGGAGTACTTGGCAATGACTTCGAGCTGAAGGTGTGGTTATGCAGACGTCGGTCGTCAAGGATGAAGAAGTACTAGCGGGAGCGGATGTTAAGTCGGAGCGCTAAGCCTATTTGAGGTTTTGATATCGTCAACCTTGAATCTCGGCCCCTCGGGTGTAGGACGTAAAGCTCCACGTTTTTGATTGATTTGATTGATTACATCATACAGAGGTCTGCACCGAAAGTCCTGCACCCGCACTAGTGCAGCCCTAACCCTACTTTCGGAAAGCGGCCCTGTAGAGGGGAAGCCTAGAAATATCTTCTCATAGCGCATGGATGGGACTTTAGGTACTTCTTTTGGCTTGATAGGGGCATTAAGCCCCGAAACCTGGCTAGGGCTAGGTGCGATTCCGAAGTTGTCCAGGTAGCCCTTTAGGTGGGGCGTTATCCGAAGTCTGAGCAAGAGTCTTGGCGGGTGCAGGACTTTCGGTGCAGACCTCTGTACTACCCTGAAGTCTTGCCCTAGTAGCCGACTATGCGAGTTACGTAATCTATCTGATCCTTTCGGCCAATCATATGGTCTCAAATAAATGAGGCTATATAAGTCACCGTTATGGTTCTGCGTTTTATTGTACTTGATTCTTGAGAAGAGGTGTATTCTATATCGCTGGGGCCCTCTTATCTTAATCGTATTCTTCTTTTTAATCGTCTATTCTAGTAAATTCTTATTGTTAGTTCTTATTAAGGGCTTAATATTATCTAATAAGTCTTATATTTCTTATAAAGTTCGTCGTTATAAAGGCGTAGTGTAACTTTATTAGTATATTTTTATAAGTAATAATCCTCTCTTTCACCTTTCTTCTCTCTTCGATTTATTATATTTCTCGCTTCTTATTAAATAGCCTATATTTATAAAGAATATATCGAGTTATCTACTTCGCTCTATACTTATATTCTTTATTCTCTATATTTAATATTTATCGATTATAAAGAAAGATCTTAAAATCTATTTTCTTAATTCTTATTTATATTATTAGCGATATCTTAGCGCGCTTAACTCTCGAATATAGAAGTTATATTTATTTCGATAATATTAATTAAATTCTTCTAAGAATATTACCTCGCTTCTTATTAATTTATTCGATAATTTATTATTTTATCGCGTAGTCTCTAATAGCTATCTTAATTATCGATATTATTCTTATCTATATAATTAATAATTAAGCTATTTTATTAATATTTATCTTTACTCTTTTATTATAAATTACTCACTCTCGCTAGCTAGTAATCTTCTTCGCCTCTCTATTTACCTATTTATTATTATCGATATTAATATATATTAAAATTTAGTATAATTCTATTACTATCTTAAGATATCTTAGCGAATTAATAATCTATACTATCTATATTATATAGATCTATCTTAAATATTTATTTAAATCTTTAATAGTTTAAATTAATATTTAATTATTCGTATTTACTATAACTCTATTAAATTATAATCTTATTTAATATATAATTACTATAATTAGAGCTTAAAGAATATTATATAACTTCGCTAAGTATATTATATATTAGTTATTTAAGTCTAAATAGATATTAAAAATAGAATTAATATTTAATAATATAGCTAAAACTTTTATCTTTTTATTAATCTCGCTATTATCTATATATATTATTATATAACTCTTATTAATCGATCTTTTAATTAGTTTTTTAGCGGCTTTCTTAGTCTTATAAATTATTATTTTAAAAGGTTTCTAGTTAAGAGTAATATTAAAAGAGCGTAATTTCTTAATCTTATTAATATTATTATATCGTTCTTCGAATTTATTAATATATCGCTTTAGTAAACTTAGTTTTCTATTCTTCTTAGATTTTCTTTTAAACTTTTATTACTTGAATCGTAACTTAATAATCTCGCTATATATTAAACTAGTGGCGATTTATAAGATAATTTTCGAGATAATTTTATTTAGTTATTATTTAACTAATAGAAGATATACTTTTATATTAAGTACTAAAATAAATATAGTTTTAAATACTTTAGTTATTTTTCTCTTTATCTAAGATTAAATTCTTTATAATAATAAGAGATAAGTTTTATTATAATTGGTAGTATTTTTGGGCTAATATTATATTAAGTAGTAATATATTATTTATAGAATAATTATCGTCTAATAGAGCTATCTTATACTCTTATAATTATTATCTTATATTAATTCGAGTAATTCTCGCTAATATATCGATACTTTTAATAGTCTTAGATCGAATCTTCTTATTATAGTGGCTTTATAGAAGTTTAAAATTAATTTCAACTTCTAGATAGCGGATAAAGCGTCTTATCTTAATATATTATCTCTTATTAAGTTATAAAGAATAATCTAAGCTAAATCTCTATTTTCTATTAAAATATAATAGTTAATATTTACTAAGATTAAACTTCGATTCGTATCATAACGCTTACTTTATATAAACTTCGTCGTAGATTTTATAAAGAGCGTTATAGTTTTCCTCGATAAAGTCTCTTATTATTAGAAGGTTTATATTATCTATAAAATCGATAGCTATCGTTTCTAAGTCGACGCGATTATTATATTTATTAATAAGATCTAAGTTATAGAAGAGGTAAAGTATAGGCGATAGCGATGATTCTTAAGAAATTTCGATTATTATAAAAGTCTTTAATATAGAGTATTCGCTTGTTTTTAGTATTATTATCTTATTAAATAAGAATAATTCTATTTAGTTAACTACTTTTATATTAATTTTTCGCTTTTAGAAATTATAAAGTAGTCGAGAATAAGAGACTTTATTATATATATCTAAAATATCTAGTAGTAATATCGTAGTTACTTTATTAGAGTTCTAGATCTAATATATTCTTTCTAGAAAATAATAAATATTATATTTATATAATTATAATCTATAATCTCTTATATATATAGTCGATAGAAGTTTATATATCTTTATAAGATATACTATTCTTTTAGTAAGAATAAACTCTATTATCTTTTCTATAATATTAAGTAAAGCTATTAATCGATATTCTTTAGAAATCAAATAGTCTTTATTCAACTTCGAAAGGATAATTATTATTAATATTCTAAAGTACTCTAGATAGTAGTTATTCGTTATATATATATTGAATATTCTATATAAATAAGAGAGTAATAATTCTAGAATCTTCTTAAGAATTAGATTAGGGATCGCGTCTCTCTTTTAAGACTCTCTTTAACGATATTTACGTTATAGTCTTTCTTATTTTATTTATAATAATTATATCTATTAGATAGACTTATAGATATATTATATTAATACTAATATTATCTAATTTTATCTATATTAATAATAGAAAGAATATTTTTATAAGAAGATCTACCTTTTAGACTTAGTTCGTTATATTCTTATTTATCTTTATTAAATAGTAGAGAGAGATATATTTATATTATAAGTTATTTTCTAATTTACTTAATCTTTTTCTATATTATTTATAATAATTTATATATCTCTATTATAAATTCTCTAAACGTCTTTCTAATAGTTCTCTTAATTAGATTATTTTTAAAGTTTTTAGCGACTTTATACTTATTCTATACTTTCTCTAAGAGCGTTATTCTCTAGCTTTTTTTTAGTAATTTATAATTTTTTTATACTTTCTTATATTCTAATATAAATCTTAATTTAAATTATAGCGATAATTTAATAATTAAAGTAAACTTCTCTATAGCTACTTAAATAGAGTTAATAATAATTACTATTTAATAATCGATATTATTATTAATAAGATTTTTATTATTTCTTTAAGAAATTAGCTAGATACTCTTTCGATATTATAGCTTTAGCGAGTATCTCTCTTAGAATCTCGATATCTAGTTTATTAAAGTTTCGGCGTATTATTAATACTAACTTTATTACGATTAGCTTAAACTTTATAAAAATTAAAAGATAGTTAGATTTACTTTCGAAATTATTTTTAATATTATAGTTAATAATATTTATTATTAGTATTAAAGTAACGAATAGTAAGTCTATTATTATTTAATAGTTTTTTTTATATATTATTATTTCTACTAGTAATGCTTATTTTATAGCGAATTCTTTCGCTATAAGTATTAGTTCTTTTATTTTCTTATTAATATAAGTATTTAATTTCCTCTATATTATATAGTAAAGATTAAAGTCGTTTAATATAATCTATTTATTATTCTTAGACTTTATAAGCGTCTTATATAATTCGTTAAGTCTATTTATTTATTAATTATCGTAGAGTTATAGATATTATATATATATATAATTCTATTATTTTCGAACTTAATATTAAGAGTATAGAGGTTTAATAAATAATATAATAGATATTATTACTTTAATAATATTCTCTTATTAATATAGAAGTATATTTATATATTATTATAATAGGGGTAGATTAAGTTAAATCTATTCTTTAGAGAATAATATAATATATTTATATTAGTATTTCTCTAGGGCTTCTAAATTACTACTATATCGATATTATAAATCTTTTTATTATCGAAGAGTTCTACTATAATTATTTTAAATTTCTTTATATTATATTATAGTATTAATAGCTAACTAAGATATACTATTATTTCTTAATATTATTATTAATATTATTTACTCGCTTCGTCTAGTTTATAGAGTCTATATTTCTCTTTCTAAGTATTCTTCTTTTCTTAATTATCGATAAACTAAATATATCTCTTTTTATTCTTATTAATAGAGATTATAATTCTCTTATTATTACTCTTTTAACTTAGAGGCTATCTATTATCCTTAAGATTATTAATTTCTCTTATCGCTATATTATTCTTATATTATTTAACTTTATCTATTACTTTAAAGGGTAATCTATTTCTAGATAAGATTTTTATTAATAATATAAAAGTATATCTTCTTTTACTTAGCTAAAGATTCGATATAATAGTTCTTTCGAGATCTAGTCCTCTAATTCCTCTTTTACTAACTATTCTATCTTTATTTACTAGCTTATTATATATAAATATTAGCCTTAAAAAAAATTTCTTATTTTATTTATAATTAAATATATTCTAAAAGTAGTTATTTAATTAATCGCTTATTTGATAGCTAGTCGATATCTTCTTTATTATTATAAATTATAAAGAAGTTTATTATCTCGTTATTCTTATTCTCGCTATCTTTCTCTTCTTTATTATATATATCTTATTTTAAATCTTATATAGTTCCTCGCAAATCGAGTATTTACGAGTATCGACCGTATATTCTTTATAATAATACTTTTCTTAAGTATTTCTTATATATTAAGTAATTCTTTTTAGAATATATAATCGATAGATAATCGTATTTCTAATATACGAAGTATTACTTCAATCTATACTACTTATTATAGACGTAATAATTACATAGTTTTAAATCGATAACTAGATCTTCTTCTAGTACTTTATTTTCTTTCTCTAGAGATATTAATTCGATAATTAATAAACTCTTATTATAACTCTCTTTATTCGCGCCGAACTAGCTTAGTTATATTATATCGAGATTTAGTATATTAACGTTCTTATTCTAAATTCTTTTAATTATTATAGTTATATCTTTAATATCGAATATATTAATCCTTACTTTATAGAGTAAAAGACTATATATTTTAATAATTACTCTCGCGCTATTATTTATCTTTAAAGTCTAATCCTTACTTTTTCTTAATTTATTCGCCTTCTTCTTATTTATAGCTATAATATATATATCGCTACTCGCTAGCCTTCTAATCGTTTTAATAGATTTTCTTATAATATCTATATTTTTTATATATCTATTAATTATCGTAGTTATCTCGCTCGATATCTTTCTCTCTAATACTTTATCTGTAAATCTGAAAAGTTCCTGCAAAATTTGAAATTGCTGATCGCGCGTTTGTCGCGGAAATTATAAAATCCCTAGATCAGTAAATCTGATTAGAATCCGCTTAAATTCTGTCGGTTTAGTAAATCTGATTAGAATCTATCTAAATTCCGTCGGTTTAGTAACTGTTTTAATCTTTTCTATTAGTTCTACTAGTTTAATAGTAATACGTATAAAAAAAAAAGTTCTAATAATCGACGTTGCGATAATAAGATTTTACGATAACGAGTATCAACGCTAACTTAAATTTAGCTACGGAATTAGACGATTTAATAAAATTAGTCGCGTAAGTAATATTCTAATATAGCGTATAATAATACGTATATTAATAATAATATATATTAATGTTATATATATAAGAATAGTACTTAGAGTATATTAGAGTATATTACGTAAAATTTTTAAAGTTGCTAAAAATTTTTAAAGTTGCTAAACTAATAGAATTAACGAAAGAGTTAAAATAGTTATTAAATTAATAAAAAGAGTTAGATATAGGTAAAGTCTGCTAAATAGACTAAATCGTACTTATAATGCGAACCCGGCGGAAATCGTGCGGAAAGGAACTTTTCAGATTTGTAGATGTTTATTTACTATCTTATCTTATAGCTTTATAATAATCTTATTTAGCTTATTATATAGTATTTAATTTTATTTCGATATTATTAATAGTATAATAGAGATTTCTTTAATAGTAAAAAAGAATATTAAGAATCGGCTTAATACGCTAGCGTAGTTAATTATTAATATATTACTTTTTAAATTAATTATCTAATACTTAATATACGTAATCTTTTTCTCTATATTATTATCTCGATTATTTAAGTTAATAGCTAGTTTATATACTTTATCTAAGACTATCTAAATTTTAAATTTATTATTTACTCTTTTTATAAATATTACCGTCGCTCTAAGAATAGTAACTACTTTATTTATTAATAATTTCTAGTCTTTATCTATTATTTTTAATATAGTATTTATCGATAACTTTAATATAAATACGTATTTCTTAAAATTATAGCTATTATAATTCTATTAAAATTAGCTAATCTTATTCGATATAATTATAGAAGTATAGACGTTTTCTAAAGCTAATTAAAGAGGTACTAGCCTTACTAAGTACTTTAAATATGTATATCTATTTTCTATAGCTCAATAATATAGCATGAGCGTTGTGCGAAAGTTTTGTCCAAAGCTCCACGTACATATTGGACGGCGCTCAGAAGCTCAAATAAGCTTAGCGCCACACGCCGCCAAGCACTATACGATACGTCCTATCTGTCGTATTCAATTGATCAACTGTTTACGGCTTTCAGCACAGCGATGATGACTACTTGGTATGCATGTTCGAAGAATGATTGGAACATCGCCACTTGAACAGGGCATAGACCTCTAGGTAATGGATCGTCTCACAGAGTCCCAATCATCTCCTTCTCCTCTTCGTCCTCTTCTCCCCCTCATCAACCTCTACACTACCCACTACCTCCTCCCCTGCCAGCTCATCCGCCTCCTCATCTCCAGCCTCATCTCCGCCGCCCCGTAGCTTTCCAACGGTTCCCTTCCCATCGTCTTCAGCCGCCCTCTCTGCACTCCTCCAAGCACTCACACTCCTCTCAACCGTCTCAAACATTTCCCTCGTATCCTTCACAACACTCACGTCTTGCTTTCCCTTTATAACTTCTTCTGTTTCCTCTCGGTCTTCATCAAACGTAGCACCGAGTTCCGACGTACGCTGTCTAGTCCGGAAAGCAGGACCAAAGCCGCGTTTGGTTGGTAGATCAGGATTAAACATGATTGCATTTGCAAACATACGCATCAATTCCTTCTCCAGCTGCGCGGAGTTGACGATGCCTTTTGGTGGCATCACATCCGGGGACTCAGGTATCCAGACGCTAGACGAACCTTCTTGAGCAAGATCCTCAATGGCGGCGTTGGCTGCTTTGCTGCCGTTGCTTATAGCCTTTTTGATGGAATTTAAATCTTGAGGTCGGTAAATGAGGTCTTTGTAGCCTGGCGCCTCACGCTCAGTAAGGGGTTTGGCGAAGACATTAGCGACTTTGTGGTGAATGACATCGTTCATGACAGTCTGCGAGATACGGGCGAAGTTGCGGCTGGCGAGGACTTGGCCCGGTTTCGAGAATGAGTCAGGTGTAGGGGAATGAGGTGGTAAAATGGCTGCCTCTTCACGTTTTCGCTTCGAGCTCGGCTTGCCGGTTTCGTTCACCTTTTCGAGACCACGAATGGTACCGCGGCGCTGTCTTGTGGATTTACGAGCTTCGTCGGCGGTTTGAGAGGCTACGGAGGCGTCATCATCATGGCCTGAAGCGACAGATGGTTCGGGTTTGATTTTGCGGGTTGACGTGGGCTGACTGTCCATTCCAAGTTCGTCGGCTTGAGAGACAATGGACTGACTTCGAGTACGAGCTCGAGTAGAGTCTGCAACTGTCGAGGATGCTACACTGCCTGCTCGGCCTCCACGACCTCTTCTTCCTGCACCCCGAGTGAGTTTGGCTCGTACCCGCTCGCTAGGCGAGTCGGTTGCAGCTTGCAGCTCCTTCTGGTTTTGAGCGCCCCGCGTTCGAGTCTGCGCAGTATCCGGTGAAGGCGATGGCTCTTTGTCACTGATTGGACTTATCTCTCTGGAAGAAGGTGCAACAGGTGATCCGACAGGTCGCACGGAACCAGGGGTATCGACATCTTTCCATTTTGTGGAAGATGTAGAGGTAACAATAGGCGTCGGTCTGGGCGGCCGCTGCCTACCGGATGCATTTGACAATGGCGTATGCTGATCAGCGAAACGAGATACATGATTACGAGGGTGAGGTGTCTGAATTGGTGTTGGTTGGTAGTATCCAGGACTTTGATTGTAATTAGGATGCTGTGGGTACTGTCCCACTGGAGGTTGGTAAGGTTGCGTGTTGCCGTAAGGTGACCCGTGCACAGCGCTCGCAGCGTGACCTTGGTAAGGTAAACCTCCGTGTGGAAGATTATATGCAGGCAGGGGCCCTTGCCCGTAGGGTGGGTATGGCGGATGATAGGGTGCCTGGTTCTGATAGTACGGATAGTCAGTTGGCATGTAACCCCTCGGCGCGGGAAGCTGGTTAGGGTGCTGTTGTGGACCTGGGTGCTGAAGAGGCCGAGGGGATGGCATAGGAGGATTTGCTCGGTACTGTTGACCAGCCATATCTGCGAGAGCATCCAGAGGTCCAGTGGGTGATCCAGAAGAGCGGAGCATTCCCGGTGGTGGCGGTAGAACTCTACCGCCTATGAGGGGCGAGGCTGAGGAGCGCTCTGGTCCGGGAAATGGGGTTTGATTTAAGCGTGGACTTGGTGAAGGTGCGACGCCATTTGGTGGTTGATTCTGAGGGGGCAGTCTGCGGTTCATGTCCGAATTTGGTGAGCCTGATAGGTTCCCAAGGTTGAAGCTCTGTGGAGGCGGCAGAAACGGTGGTGGGTTCTTGTAGTCATTTGGCATCTGCTGACCACCTCCTGATGGAGCTACCTGCGGAGGATGTGGAATGCCATTGAGGCCATGCGGAGGTGCTTCATACGGATGCTCTGATGCGCCTGTCTGGGCCTCCGCGACCAGGCCGTTCCGTAGCTCATGTGCAGATGTCGGTCTTGATGTAGTTCCTCGTTGTGACTTGTCCACTTCATCATCGTGTCGTAGCAGTGTCTGTATGGACGATACCCCTCTCGAGTCCCGTCTTGAATTAAGATCTTGATCCTGAGTTCGTCCATCCGAGTCCCCTCGCTCTATCTCTTGAACTTCCTTTTGAAGCGACCTGTACTTCCGCTCTTCATCCTCAATTGACTTGATAGCATGATCTCGGTACCTGAAGTACAAACGGTTGACTATTTGAGGCAGCAGGTGGTTGTACTGCAGAGCCTCGTCGACAGTCTCCAAGGGCGGACTTGACAGCTTCCGCTTCCGCGGATTGGGTTGCTCATTCTTCTGAAAGACCTGATCACGCCCTTTAGCTTCGCTTTTTGCCTCCTCTTTCAGCAGGCGAAGGTATAGATCTTTCAAGGCGTCCGGCTCAAGACGGTTGAGCTCGAAGGAATCGCTTTCTCGAAGAAGCTCGTTGTTCTTCAGGGTGTCGGAGATCTTGCCGAAGGAGGGCGGATTGGCAGTGAATGGATGTAGTGTCTGGAAGAGCAGTAAGGTCTCGAGAGGAGTGTGAACACCGGGTGCCATCATCTTCCATTCTTCGTGGACGGAGCTGTCGCGCAAGCTGATTCGCTAGAGGGGTTTCGACACTCGATCAAGGCACCCAAGAACCCGATCAGTCGGGCTTCGGTCTGCCTTATATAGGTAAATTCCACTCCTCCTATGATGCACCAAAATCCTTCAAACCTCAAACTCTAGTGACGGTATTCTTGGTCGCGCGCCCGTTAAATTGACCTTTCCTGGAGAATTTATGCTTAGTCATAACAAAGCCTTGGCATTTCGAGAAACCGCTTTTGGACGCGTCCGATTATAATGTAGAAGGGCCGTACGGAGAAGAGAGGGAATCAACCTGAGACATTCTTGGATCTGCTAGAATAACTACTACCCTAGATAACTGCGAGAGGTGAACGTTGTGTTGATATAGCTCTGGTTCTGACACTACTTTGTTTTGACACTACTTTGTCTGAAATACCGGACTGCCACCATGCTCCAACAGATTGACACAAGCTGACAGCTACATATGCCGTACACAATAGTCATAATGGTTCTATCCCACGCCGTCCAGGGTTTCAGCTGGCTCGCCGATGCTGCGTGAGTAGGCTCTGGAAGCACAAGTCGTTTTCTTTTAAACGCTATCAGCGAAAGCGCAACCCATATCAAGCCAATCGTCCATCTTTCATACCCCCATTCTTTTGCTTCAAGCAGCGCTTGCTGTCCCGCCCTGCTCGGCCCTTTCGCCTCCGATGGGGTAGAAGCGGTTCTCCAGCCGTAATCGGCTTCTTTCAACCTTCCTTCAACTCGCAGTCTTCGCTCTTTGCGACGTGAGCACCACCGCATAAAGCGCATTTCAGGCATCCTTTATTGGCAGAGGGATCATGGGTGCCAGCTGTCGAAAGATGCATCCGAGCGCACGCGTGGCAGCCAGACGCTGAAGAGCAATCTTTGAAAATATGACCATACGCTCGGCAGTTGCGACATTGTGTTATACTAGGATGTGGTCCCTGCCTTCTGCAAAGACGGCGCTCATGACTCCAGAGAATTCCGGGTTCGATGGCCTCATTAGCCTGCTGGGCAGTGGAAAATGTGATCGTGACTGATGTATACTCGATTGGCTTGAGACCGATAACCTTCTTGTTCAGCAAATCCCTTCGATATTCGCTGGAGTTTTGAGAGACTTGAGAACAGATTTATTGTCATTCACCAGCGTTTTGATTGCCGTGGACTTCTCGAAGCCCCCCAAAATGTTCATGGTACCGATTTGAACGTGTTTCACAGTGACTTTGTAGCTTCTCAACTGAGTAGTCAATACAAAGGACTCGAAGGCTCGAGGCCAGTCTTTCATGCCATCCATCAAATCTGTGTCTGGTGAACACTCCGAGCAAATCGAAAGGGTAACGCTCCTGTTCTTCACAACTTGGGCTCAGTGGAAGAATCGCTTACCGACGGTATGATGTACACGTTCTCTGAGTGCAAACTGAACAAAACCAAACAGATCCTCCTTGTGAACGCCTTTTAGGTGACAGATCACGTCCTCATCGATGAGCTTAAGTGTGTGCAATTTGGTAAGCAGGTGATTGTCTGGCAAATTACATTTTCATACCAAAAGATTCTTACAAATTCATACCCCATCTTACATTTTCATACCCCTCACCAAAAAAATGGGGTATGAATTTGTAAGTTGCCAGTCTTTGGGGTATGAATTTGTAAGTTCCCATTTCTTGGGGTATGAAAATGTAAGATACCACCAACATCCCTATACCTGTAAAGGGTGTTCTAGGCTACCTACCTCAATTGTTAGTAACCTGAGTTACCGCTAAAGGGTTAAATAGAGGTGTTTGCACTTCACGCTGCAAACACCCCTAAGGGGCCCCCCGGGGCCCCCGGAGGAATACTTAACACCAACCCGCCCTATAATAAAAAAATCATACCCCTATTAATGATATCTTACAAAATCATACACCTGTTAATGGTATCTTACAAATTCATACCCCATAATGGGGTAATGACGACATTGACCCCATGAAGCATGGACGGTCATAGGACAGGCCGTGACCTGACGAATGACAGCGCAACCGATACGTAGGTCAACCTAAAGATGATAAGGCTAACAAAGATAGGCATAGTAGATAGAAGCTGGCGTTATCTATTCTTAGCTCAAGAAGATACCACTAGTGATACTCAGTTTCAGCCCTGAATATCTCGAATTCCACCAACCCTTCGAATCACACGCCACCTTACTAAAGCTCTGCATTCATTTAATACATATGACTGTCAAATGACCGAGAAGGTGACCGACGTACGTGTCATATGACAAATCCACACCCCTAAGTCCCCATTGGGGTATGAAAATGTAAGATGGGGTATGAATTTGTAAGAATCCCATAGTTTGGGGTATGAAAATGTAATTCGCCCGTGATTGTCTCGCTCTTCCGTTTCAAGGTTTTGCTGTCTCAAATCTGCTGAGACCTGCGATATCGTAGAAGCCATACTGGCAATAACAGTTGGAGCCGATGGACCGGGCGCCCTAAGCTGAGCGTCCTCTACGAGCCCGCGACTTTGCTGCCTAGCCGTGTCTTTGGAACGCAAGGAGTCTAGATCCTTAGGCACAGGTGTGTGAAGCCTGTATTTTCTCGAGAACCTCTTCAGATCCTCCAAACTGATACATCTGTCATACATAGAACGCTTGCGTCTCTCATCTGCTGTTCTCATTGTCTCGATATCATAGGAAACTTCTGACGGGCCAAGGATCTCGGTCTTATCCGCGGTAATAGCCGCCAGTGCTTTTGAACCGTCGAGAAGATGTGGTGGATCATCAGCAACTGCATTGCCTGCAGAGAGGCTATTAGCTGGCTCAACAGACTTCGCCCTGTCTATCGTGACTTCTACCTTGTTATCCTTTTCATCCGGATCATTTTCAATAGCAAAATGGGCGTTGTAGCCAGAGGCACCATCTGAAGGTGCTGTTGAGCATCGTGAATCTGACAAGGTTGGTGTGCCTGGCAAAGACAGCACTTTCCGGTCTCTTGCGGCCCTTCTTCAAAAGAGATTGATCCAACAGCCCTGAGACAACAAGTTGTCGAATAAGCTCTTCCTCGCCGGCGAGGGTAGAGCAGACGCAACATTTGTCAACCGTATCCACACTCTGTCCTTCCGACGGCCTCAAGGCATTGTGAGGATCTTCTTAGAAGTCATAGGAGCCAACGGACTGCGCTGATCCAGATACTGGTGGGCTTGGCTGTGACGTGCCCTCATAGTCAAAGGGATGTCCTGATTCATGACACTCTGGAGTAATTTTGACTTCGACTCTGGAGGCCAACTTGGAATTCAGCTCCGGAAAATGACTGATAGAGGGCGTCGAAAATTGGTCGTGGGACTCCTAGAGATAGCGAGGATGACAATTCTCTGGTCAGATTCTGAGCAAGACTCTTCAGTTCAAGCTCTCTGTTCGTGTCGCCTGGTAGAGTCTCCATCGTCCGGGAGACACCCTCTGTGACAGGTTGGGAGATATTGTTCATCGTCCTGCAAACAGTCAGTTGGACCACTCTCCTGATGTTGCTGCACTCACAGCATAATTGTAGCGAACTCCCTCATAAGGGTAGCGGAATGTCGCCTTGAGTTTTCGGGGCAGGTGTGAGCCAGAGGCAACCTCACAAACATGGCCGCGGATTCCATCTTGGCAAAGAATGCGAAAACGTGATGAAGACAGGATCCCACGTATGCTCTGCTCATGCAGTATGACACGTCAGATGGTTGCAAATACTGTGGACAAGTTCCCGACTGGTGATCATGGAGTAGTTGAGGTTGTAGAGTATATGTAATACTTATCGTCAAGCGCTTGGCGCGCACTATTGCAGAATGCCGTTGATGCTTTGTATCGCGAGTACACTAGACATTCTACAGTGAAATTGGTCCTCACAAGAGCACTCCAGGAGAGCATAGGTTTATGATACAAATCTTGTTTGCTCCCTTCGAGTGTAATACTATGCAATAGGACAATCTCCCCGCCGAGCATCCGGCCGAAGAGCCAATGCGATCATTAGAAATCCAGGCAGGTAGAGAGTTGCGTTTTACGAACACGATTGCAGTCTCATTATGAGCCCTCTATCTCGGCGAGGCTGATTTGACGTCGCGATTGCCCCAGGCAGAAGGAATCCATATGACCACGGATTACCCGCTGCAGAGACGACTGGTTGAGCTGGGGCGGAAGTTGTGCAGCTCGACTATTCGCTTTGGAATTTGCCAATGACAACATCTTCGCTCGAGGTCCTGGCCGAAGATGCAACGTAAAAGGCCCATGATCAGGGATATTAAGCATCAGCAACTGTGCGGTGGCAACGACTGATAGGCGCGGGAGTCCCGGTTTGGGGGACGATATATTGCAATTGCGCAATCTCCAGATCACCTGCTTAACGCAGACGCTACCCTCGTGCAGCCACCCGAAGGGCTAGGATTGTGATGTAGATGTTTACACGTCAATCGCATAGTCTCCCTGGATTGCGGATAGGATTTCAACGCTGAACAAGGTATGTGCTCGGGCACGCTTTCCGGCTGACGTGGAAATCATGTAGAGTACGTTGAGATGCAAATTTGGAGCCCAAGCAAATGCCTCGATGTCATAGGGCTGGACGTTGGGGGGAAATTTAAGGTTGCGGTTGCGGTTCACCGGTGCCCCCAGTTCAGTTAGGACTTCCAGGGCTGCCGCTTTTAGCGAGCGAGCTGGTGTCGTTGCCGTACCTCTGGATATTCTCAAATATAGATGATCGAAGCAAATCATGAGATTTCCGACGGAGGTTCACTTTTGGTTTGCATTAATGTATCATAGTGACGAACTTGAGTAGATTCCATCATAGCCCCTTCGTAAGGAAGTAGGAATTGAAAGCAAATGAGTGTGGTGCACGGCTATCGTGCTGCGAAACAAAATTACAATATTCGAGTCGAAAGCAAATGAGTGTGATGCACCGAAAGGGTGCCGCCAAAAAAGACACAACATCCAGAACAGTGTCCTCAACAACGGCCACCTTGTCATCAATGGACCCGCCTTGCATCCTGGAACCCATCAGACGAGCTCACCAGCTACTATGTTGCGTCTGGCGTTCCGATCTCTTCTAGCAATTGAACCCACAGTTCATATTTTTTTTTTTTTTTTTTTCCTCCCCCCCCTTCCCCCCCCCCCTTTTCTTTCTCCCCCGCCTTTTTTTTTAAAAAAAAAAGGGGGGGGGGTTTTTTTTTCTTTTTCCTTCTTTTTTTTAAAATTAAATAATCTCTCCCTATTTTTTTTTTTTTTTTTTTTTTTTGGGATATAGAGGGATTTTTTTTTTATATATTTATCCTTCTTCCTTAGACATCATTAAGACTATTATATCTAATGATAGATCTTATTATAGCAGTAACTATATACTTAGAAATATTTATTAATACTAATTAATATACTTTAATCTAGTACTTATAATACTAGTTAGATTATACTATTTAAAGAATTTTTTTTTTTTGTTTTTGGGGTATTTTTTTTTTTTTTTTTTTTTTTTTTTTTTTTTTTTTTTTTTTTTTTTTTTATTAAAAAAAAAAATTTATTTTTTTTTTTTTTTTTTCTTTTTTTTTAAAAAAAAAAAAATAAAAAAAATATTAAATATTATTAAGCTTCACATTATATTAATATATAATACACATTTAAAATAAACTCTAAGAATAAGAAACTAGACTCTTTAGTCGAATTACTTATATACTATAACTAAGAATATACTATATTAACAAAATATACTATTAAAGAAGAAGTTAAATTATTAGATATCGAGGAGAGACTTAATTAACTCGTTTATTAGAGAATATAAGAGTATATAATATATTGATGAAAGGCTCTCTCTGATATCTTTGCTGAGGAATTTGAATAATTCGTTAAAGAGAACTTTGAAAAGCTTATTAAAGATAATATCTATAGCTTACGAGACTGCCTACGGATCAACGAAGTTTATATTCAAAAAGGGAGAGGGATTTCCATAGCCCAAGCACTGGCAAATGTGGTTTAGGAAGATATCCCATGGCTATCGGACGACGACGAAGAAGAACGTCCTCTATCAAAGCAGCAACAACATTACCCTCCTTAGCAGCAGCCTTAATATGTGCTGGGGCGCGGGCTATTCAGTAGTGAAAAGCTAGTCAAGCATTATGGGAACACTGAGAATATCGCTGCAATTAAATATGTTTACGGTACTGTATTCTTCGAATCCTCCCCATAGCGATATCTAAGAAATAAATTACATCGTCGATTAATCTCAGAATATATAAGATTCTCTATAGCCTTATAATCACTGTATCGAATTATAGTAGATATTATCGAGTAGATATATATGTTACGATTAAATGCTAATCGTTCTGAAAAGGCTAAGCGAGACTCGCTTTGTATTTAAGAGTATATGTCGTTGAGAGCGTTAAGTAACTACTCGTAACGTATCCCGTCGTTGTTCTCGTCGTCGTCCTTATCCTCGTTATCCTTATCCTCGTCGTTCTTATCCGCGTCGTCCTCGTCCTCGTTATCCTCATCCTTATCCTCGTCCTCGTTCTCGTCCTCGTTCTCGTTATCCTCATCTTTACTCGTAGTAACGATATCGATAATATCGTCATATAGCTTCAGAATAGTGTTATATTCGTAGAGAATCCGAGCGTTTTCTAGCTGTTCTACCGTACCCCAAAGCTCTTTATCTCGCTCTACTTATTGAATATAAATAGAATTCTTTAAATAATAAGTATCGTAGTCTTGCTAAGTAGAAAGACTATGATCTTGATATAAATTCTATACGTTAAAGGTTAGACGTTGTGTAGGATCTTGATAGCGAAATTTGAGATTGTCGTATCGAAGAGGAGGATCGGGGAGAAGTCTAATAGATGATTTATTAAAGCCTTCGAATATGTATTAAGAAGGTCTATGAGGTGTTATAGACTAAGGTTGATAGTGTATTATAATATCGTAAAGTGTGGAATCTCGACGTTGCCATGAATTTTGACTTTGTTAATTTCTCTGAAATTATAGCTGATTTTAGGAGCGTAATTGAAAGAGGGCATGCTTATTTTCCTATTGTTGACGCTTTTTTTAATAACGATTCGCAGTACGTATGACAGTAGAAGAAGAGATACTATAATTAAAAAGAGTTAACTGAGATATAATTTATAGAGATAGAATTCTTTTAAAGAAGAAATGGAGAGAGACGGAGATAAAGTTGAGATTACTAACAAAATTTGATGTTCGTAGCTAAGAAATTTAGTTACTTCCCGAATAGATACCTAACTTTCTCGATTCAGATCTTGGTAGTACTTTTCAAAACTTGTCGACAGGAAGAAAGCTAGCTTTCCAATCAGCAGCCTTATCGACTGGAGAATACTATTTCTCTCTCCCCGTAATCGGCTTATTATTAGCCTTATCGATCGGAGAATACTATTTCTCTCCCGCCGTAACAGCCTTATTATCAGCCTTATCGACCGGAGAATACTATTCCTCTCCCTCCGTAACCGCCTTATTAATCGAAGAATTCTACTTTAATTCTCCCCCAATACCAGCTTACGACCCAAATTACCGAGTCTTACACCTACTACCCTCGCCTTATTAAATTATTTAAAACTTCGATATCAAATAAAACCATGGCTATAGTAAGAAACTCATTACTCTAGCTAAATTATATACTATCGAGGAGAAGTACGATAGAAGTCCTATTAAGAGTCTTAGCTATAAATTTATAATTTTTATAAATCTTTATATAAAAGTCGAGATTTCTTAGTAGATTCTTTAAATAGTATTTTTAACTATATTAAAATCTATAATATTAAAGTATTACTACTCTAATTATTAAGAGATTAACCTTATTATTTAATAACTCTTCGATTAATTTTAAAATTATTTCGAGAGAGAAGAATATCGTTATTTTATACTTTATAAGTAAAATAGTATTAATTTAAGAGGCTTATTTCGAGCTAATTTCGAAAAGAATAAAGGAAATATCTTTAATAAGATAATTTAATAATTTTATTAAATTTAAAGAGAGCTAGATTACGAGTTTTAATTAGATATAATACTTCGAAATAAGATAATTATCTCTTATAGTAATATTTCTATATATAATATTATAATTCTATAATAGATAACTATAATTACGAGGCTAATTAATAATATCTATATTATAATCGAGAATTACGAAGAGACTATAAAGACTAAGAGATTCGAGTTACTTAGATCTATAATATACTTTATTAATTAAAAGTATTATATTAATTAATCTTTAAATTAGAATAAATATAATAGATTATTTTCGCTAATAAATAGCTTTTAGAAAAAGCGATACTTTATTTATAAGAAGATAGATTACTAGTTAATTAAGTATATCGATAAAAAACGTTAAGAGTCTCGAAATAAGTTCGCTAAGCGGTTTATCGACTTTATTAATAAGCGATATAACTTCTATATTTAAGAGTTTAAAGACTAGAAGAATAAGATCGAGAATCTTAAGACTTTAACTCTCGATATTTAAGATATTAATTTAAAGAAGATCGAAAACTTTATTACGACTACTTTTATAGTTATATTAAATTAAATTTAAGTATATTATTTAGAGCTTTTTAGCTATTTTATATATTATAATATTATTAAGTCTAATAGCTTTCTTAGTATTAGCCGATATATCTTAAAGTAGTTTTATAATATTATACTAGATATCGAAGTTATATATATATTTACTATTAAATATAATTAAGTAAAAGTCTATATAAGAGAATTTAATATATAATTAGATATTACTATTAATAGTATTATTATCTAATTTAAGATTAAAATAGTAGCGTTAATTAGAAAACTTATAGTAAATTCGTTTATTAGTTAAGTTAACTTTCACGTAATATAAACTAACACTTTATTTTTACTATATATTTAAAATATAGATAAACTAGAGATCTATCTAAATAATCTTAAAAATTAAGTTATTTTAAGAAATAAATCTACGATCTTAATTATTCGCTTTTATAAATATCTATTTTTAATATAGAATTTTATATTAGTTAATTATCTAATCGATATCGAGTTATATTAACTATATCGTTAATTCGATTATTTCTTAATTAATAGACTTATTTAAGTTCTAAAGAAAGCTAGCTATAATAACTTCGAATATCGTTATATACTTAAACGAATTATCGAGTTCTATATACTCTATTAAAAGTACTTTTAATTCTTAAATTATTTTAAATTCTTATTTAAGAATAAAAATAATATCTATTTTAACTATATAATTATTATCGATATTCTCTATATTAATAATAGTCTAATTCTATAAATTATTAATAAGAAAACTTTATTTTAAGTTATCTAATAACTAACGAATATAATTATCTCTTATATATAGAATATACTTAAACTATACTAAATAGATATATATATTAAATCTCTAGACATTATTATTTATAACGCTAAAATTAATTTTAATAATATCGAGTTTAGATAAAACGCTAGAACTCTAAGTATTTAAATAAAATACGTATTAGTTAAGGCTATTACGAGCGTATTCTTAATACACCCCTTAGCTCTATAGCTAGCGAGCCTTAATAAAGATATTCTCTATTATATTATATCTTCTTTTTATCTATATAATTCGATATCTTAATTATCTTATTTAATATATTTATATTAATATTATATCTATATTAATTCTAATACTATAACTAAGATTAACTTACTTATTTCATTTATATTAGCGAATAAATTTAAAGAAACGCGCTAATAGAGGCTTTAATAAGAAATTAAGTTAAGCTATTATATCTCTAGATAAATCTATTAAATAGATAAATTAATTTTAAAGAGTTTAAAAGAAATAGCGAAACGATCTTAATAAATAGTAGTTAAGAAATAAAGAAGATATTAGACTATTTATATAACTAGCGAATTAAAAGAAATAGTTAATATTATCTTATATTTTTATATTTAAAATATATATTAATAGTATTACTTATAACTTTATATACTATAATATCTAAGATTTTAACGAGATCTTAATTAGATAAAAAACGATTAAGTTATAGTTAATTAAAGATATTATTCTTCGAAACTTCTTTATATATAACTTTTCTATAAAATAAGAGACTTTTTAAGCGAAGTAAGTATACTCGAAAAACTACTATTTAAAGTATTTATAATCTTCTTTACATCTTAAATAATTAAGAAATAAATATATTAAACTTTCGTAAAGAAATAACCTTATCTTAGACTTTATAGTAAAATTTTTTATTCTTAATATCAAATAATTTTTAAACGCCTTAAAAAGACTTTATTATTCTTTACTATATCTAATATCTCTAATATCTATTCTTTTAAAATATTTAAACTCCTCTTCACTTTATTTTAAATCTTTCTTTCTTCTTTTTTATAGTAAAGTTTAATATTAAAAGAATAGATTAAATTAAGACCTTATTAGAGTAAATTAAGTTTTAATAAATATTAGTTCTATTAGATAATATCTCTAACGAGATAAACTCGATAAATATATTTTAAGATATTACTAATAATTTATAACTATAATATTAAATTAAGTATTAACTTAACGAATTTATAACTATATTAAATAAAATTCGTTAAAAGAAAAATAATTTCTAAAAGATTATTACTTAATATTATATTATTATTATAAAAAAGAATCTAGCTATAAACGATTTATATTAAATCTATAAAATAATTAAGAAGATAAATTAATTAGTCTAAGACTTTTAGAAGAATATAATTTTTTTATAGCGGAAAGTTAATAGCCTTAAGATATAGTTAATAAAAGACTTACGACTATTATTAATTAAGAAGAAATATATATCTAGATATTTAAAAGAGAAATTAATTAAAATTTTAAACTTATCTCTATTTATTAATGATAATAATCTTATTTAGAATAATTAATTCTTTAGAATAAAATAGAAATTTAAGATTAATAGCGATTATTATCTTATTAAGAACTTTAAGATAATCTATATAATTTTATAACTCGGCGATAAGATTATATAATATACAATATATAGAAGACTTCGAAACTCTATTAACTTATATTAATCTTTTATTAAGATTATAAATAAGTTAGCTAATATCTATAAGAATTTAAATTAATATAATAATATATTACGTAATATATATACTTTATAATAAGAGATTTAATCTTTTATCGATTTCTATTTAGACTTTATTTAATTAAGTACTATTCTTAATTATAATAAAACTCTTATATTAAAGAATTATCTTTCTAAGAAATTAAGAAAGAAACTAAAGAAGGTATAGTAGATTATAAAAGATTTTACTATCTTAAAGATTATAAAAGAATATCTTTAAAAGCTAAATAACTTATAATATACTAATTATAAGAATTTTAAATTTATAAAGATTATTATTAAATTAATTATAATATAAATATTAATAATAATATCCGCAGCTAATATATATTTTATATCTATTATTAAGTCTAATTTAAGTATAATTACTACGCCTTTAAATATTATAATTAATTTAAAATTAAGAGAATTAATATATTATAATTATAATAAGAAAAATTATTATTAAAAGAACTATATAATAATTATCTAAATCGAGATTAATAAAAAGGCCTTTAAGAAGATATAATTTTACGCGATAAAAATAGATAAAGAATTCGAAATCGATAACGTCGATATCACGGATAGCGACGATTCTTCTTTAGATTCGGGAAACGAATAGCCTCTTCTAAAGTTACGGTAAGAGATACTTATAAAGTATATTTAATAAATATCTTTAATAACGCCTTAGCACGTTATCCTTTTTATATATAAATTACGCTATCTTTATAAGAGAGATAGTATTTACTTTAAAACTCTCTTATAGATAATAAATATATTAATACTTATATAGTTATAAATAAATTCTTAATTCTAATAATATATAAGATCTTATATTTAAAATTACTTCTATTATTATAATCTAAATTATTAAAAAATTATAATAATTAAA